CGCGCAGCCCGGGCCCGCTCAGAACCGCTGGGTGCAGCCAGCCGCTGCCCGCCGCCTTCCTGGGCTGCACCCCTGGCGCCCCGCCACCTGGTCTCCGATCGCCGCCGCCCCTGCTCTGCGCGGGCAGCGTCCGGGTGACGCCGCCCTGAGCCGCCGCCGGTCCCCGCGGACGGACGCGACGGCCCCGTTGGTAGGAGCTGGCAGCAGGCGCGGCTCTGCTGCTGGCGTCGCAGTGGCGGGATGCGGGGTCTTGGAAGTTCGCCGAGAAAGGTGCCCTCGGGGACTCACTGGTCGTGCGAGTCGGCGGGCGGCGTTTTGCCCGGGATTTAGTCTTCCCGCGTCGTGACGCCGGCCCGAAAGTTGTTCTCTGACTCACGAGGAGCTGGCCCTCGGGGTTGTGCGCCCTCACCTTCCTGAGTGCGGGTCTGCGGGTTTTCCGCTAGTTCCCTCTCCCAGTGCTCGCAAGAGCAGGTCTGCTTCAGACTCGTGCACGGAAAGGTTAACGGAAGGACCCCGGCCTGGTTCTCCTGAGCCTGGAGCACTAGCTCAAGCTCCTAAACCACGTGGCGGCGCGTCACTGACTAGGTTTTCTAGTTAGGGGCTACCATAACTGGGGGCAGTGTTCTGACCCCAGGGCAGTTCCGCTGCAGTGTTGAATAAGTGTCAGGAAAGACTTACTCAGGGAGGCGGTAGAATCCTCGTTGAAGTCTCTTCAGATAGTCACAAAATACTGGCACCTCCTCGCTTCACATCCTTCTGCTCTCCTGGGGGCTGAAGATAGGAAATGTGCCGCTGGCCGGAATCCTCACGCACCTTGTTCTGGCCTCGATATTGGGCTCCTTGGGATGCGGGTGCTTTCCCCTAGCTAAATATAGCGTCTGCTATACGCCTTTTTTTGAATTTGTGCTCTTAAGCACAAGCATTTATTGACTGCATTTGAACTGAATGGCATTTAGCTGTTGTTCCTACATGGATCCTTGAGACCTTTTTTATAGTTGTTTTATTATTTCTTAGAATTTCTTATTCATTGTATGTGTTGCTCCCTAGCTCTGGGGGTGTTTGCCTTCCTCTTGAAGGGGCAGTGCCCACATTGCCTGTCCCTTTCCTCTTTCTCCTCTCCACTCTTCTCTCCCCCACCCCTCAGTAAATGGCAGTATAGACAAATTGTGACGCAAGCTAATTAGAGTTAAACAAGATTTTTTTTTAAATTTAAAAACAATTACTATTTTTTAAAGATTTATGCATACAAGAACTGGGTTACAGGCCATAGGTGTAGGGGGTGGGGGGGAGCAGAACAAAGGAGATCTACTGAAGTACACTGCTGAGGAGGCAGCGGGGAGACAGGAGAGGTCCCCGGCGTCCTGGGGTCCCTCCCTGGTTGTACTGCACTGGCCGCGGACAGCTCCACAGTGCTGAGACTTAGGTAGCCCCTGTGCCACTGGCCCTAAACAGATCTTAAGACTGCATGAGATTGTAAAAAAAATGGCTAGACAGCAAGTAAAATCCAGTTAGGACTTTGTGGTGTGCAAACCTATTGTGTTCTCCTCATCACCAAAATACGAACAGTAAATTGGTTACAAGGGTTGGCCTCATTCATGTGTAAGTACATGATGGTAAAAATGTTTAATTTTATTCTCAGTGTTGCCCTTTCTTCCTAGATTTCCCTGGGTTTTGGATTCTGACTGTATTACAATGAGTGACACTTGGATGTCAGATGTCATTGGCCGAAGAGTTGAAGTTGGTGGAGAACATGCCACTGTGCGTTTTTCTGGCATCGTCCCCCCTGTGGCAGGTGAGTCAGTTCTGTCAGTCTGTCCTGGCTGTTTCCTGTTCCTCAGGAGGCCTCTTCCAGTGCTTTACAACACCAGTTTTGAGACAGCAGCTAATTTACCGTTGCTTCCTCTCTAGCTTTATTTGTGTGACAAACTGTTACATGCTGCTGTTTAACTTCATCCTTATTTAACTAGTGTTGCTGTTTTAAGTCACCTCAAGGTATCTTTGGAGTAAACAACAAAAAAATCTTATTCTCATAATCCTAATCTCAAAAGCAAAGTAACCTTCCTGCAATTTCTCTAATCCTTGTGTACATGTACTTAATGTAGTTTTATACAACTTTTTTTTTATCTTTTACCATTTATTACGGATCTATTTATCTGTATATTTGACAAGTCATGATTTTGTTTCAGGGTAGCCCAGAAGCACAGACTGCACAACAGGAATGGCTTGGAAGCCACCCATAGAGGAGAACAAAAGCAACAGCATTTGCCATAAACCAGATTTCACCAGAGTAGCGATATTTATAAAGCTGGTGGTGATATCCAAAGGGAAAGGGGGCCTGAGACTTAAGACCGGAACAAAATTGAAAGAAGATAAGCTGGGGAAAAAAATTGGTAAAAGTCATAGTGGTAAACATCAGTGAGAGCTGGATATAAAGGGAGAAAAAAAGTTATCATGACCCAAAAGAAAGAAGCCATGTGTTATGCAGACCTAACGCGCTTACGGTGACCAACACAAGGTACTTGGGCTGGTCCACCACAGGTGAAATTAGTCAGGCCCTACGCTGGGCGCCAAAAACTGTTACCATGAAGCCCAGAGTGGACTGGGCCGCCTGTCTATGGGCCTCACCAGCACTCACAACTCAGTTACACTGCAGGGACACACAAAAGGGCCAATAACGGGTTGACTTACAAAAGGGGAAAGGAACAGGAAACAACCCAGGGAAAGAGAGCAGGATACAAAGTAAGTGGAATACCTTACGGCTAGGCTGACTGAACACGCTGAGTCATGTGGTCAGGAGAGCTGCTTCCCAAGCAAGAGAGCGCGAGATGCAATTGCGCCCTATATATTCCCCAAATGTCCCAGAATTCCTGCTAATTCCGCCCTTGGGTCTGCGCAGCTCTCCCCCTGGTACTGCTGGGAGTTGTAGTTTCCAATCACTGGAGTAGTGTGTAGGGTCCAGAAAGCTGGAGTTGGGGGTGGTGTCCACAAGACTGCAGAGTTCCTTTAGGACATCCTTCCGCTTAACGATTTCACAGTCATACTGCAAGGGTTTCAGGTGTATGGCATATGATTCTGTTTGTGTATACCGTGAACTACTAACCACAGTAAGCTTGGCTCACATTCAGTTACACACTTTCCCTTGAGATGAGAAATCTGAAGGTTCTCACTTAGCAGCTTTCACATATACAGTGCAGTATAGGCCCACGTCAGAGATGCCTTGATTCTGTTCCAGACAACCACCACCAGAGAGTATCACAAAAGTGAGTCGTGACGTTTGTTTTCCCGCTTCATGTTATGTGTCTGTTATGCTGAGGCTACTACATTTGCGGTAGCAGTAGATCTCAAAAAATTCTTTAAAAACTACTCTTTTGCTTAAAAAATGCTAACCACATCTGACCATCAGGACGTTGTCAACTGTTTGCTGGTGGAGGTCATTGATGTTGATGGTTGCTGGCTGAGCAGGGGGTGCTACTTGAAGGTTGAGGTGACTGATCATTTCTTGAAACCTTTGCTGCTTCAATTGACTGTTTCTTTGAGAAAGATTTCTTTCTCAGTAGCATGTGATGCTGTTTGAGGCCATTGTAGTCACAGTAGAACTTCTCTCAAGACTGGAGTCAGTTCTCTCAAACCCTGCCACTGCATTCACAGTTATGCTGTGTGATAGTCTAACCCCTTGTCACTTAACCGTGTTTACCACGTCTTCACCGGGAATAGCACTTACCTCAAGAGAACATTTTTCTTGTTCATCCATAAGAGGTGACTCCTTATCTGCTTCAGTTTTATCATGAGCTTCACCAATGAGATCTTCAAGCTCCACTTCTAGTTCTCTTCCAGCTTCCACTGTATCTACACGATTTCCTGTACTGAATTCTTGAACCTCTCAAAATCACCCCTGAATGCTGAAATCAACTTCTTCTGTGTATGACCTTTTGACCGCCTCTCCTAAATGACAGGTTTTCTTAATGATATCTAAAGTGGCGTGATGAATCCTTTCCAGAAGGTTTCCAATTTACTTTGCTTAAATCCATCAGAGGAATCATCTGTGGCCGCTAGAGCCTTCAAAGTGCGTTTCTTAAACAGACTTGAAAGGTAAAAGTAGTCCTTGACCCGGGCTGCAAAATGGATGGGAGGTTAGCAGGTATAAAGACAGCCTTACCGCCTTCGTCTCCATCAGAACTCTAGGGCGAGCAGGTACATTGTCAGTGGCAGTAAAGTTTTGAAAGGAAATCTGTTTTCTGAGCAGTAAGTCTCAACAGCAACCCTAAAACAGCCGGTACGCCACGCAGTGAATAGGTGCGCCATCCTTCAGGCTTCATTGTCCGGGTCAGAGAGCACAGGCAGAACAGGTTCAGCATGACTGGCCAAGATTCTAGGTGTTTCTGAATGGCCAGTGAGCACTGACGCCTGCGGCTGTGTTAACCTCTCTGAGAGGCAGCCTGTCCTTTAGAGCCAGGCATTCCGGGCTCCTCCTTGCTTCAAAGAAGACGCAGCATCTTCCTTCAGTACAGAAGCACATGTTCCGCTGGAGGCCTGCTGTAGTGTGGCCGCTTTCATAGTGGCTTAGCTGGTGGGTCTTCTGGACAACTTGCAGCTTCTACATCAGCACTTGCTACCTAACCTTGCACTTCTGTGTCGCTCATGGCTTCTTTAGGCCCGTGATCTGACTTCTGGTGGCATCACACGTTTCTTTCACAGCTTCCTTGCCTGTTAGAACCTTGCTTTGGTTTAGACTTTGGCCTTTGGAATGTTCTGGCTGGTTTGATCTCATTTCCAGACCACTAAGATGTTCTCTGTCAATAATGAGATGATTTCACTTTCTTAGGATTTGTGTTCACTGGAGTAGCCCTTTTCACTTCCATCAAGAGTTTTTCCTTTGGGAAGTTAAAAACAAAAATGAATAGCTATGTGAAAATACATAAATAAAAAGAAAAGAAAATCTTATTAAAGTTTTCCCTTTGTATTTATAACCCATTTTTTGAGGCTCTTGGACTTTTGACGTGGTGTTCCCAGTAAGCTTATTATTTCTAGCTTTTGATGTAAAGTGAGAGGAATTATTCTTGAACACTTGGAAACCATTTAAGGATGTTAATTGGCTAATTCTAGTATTGCTGTGCTTCATGGACTAGGGAGGCCTGAGAAGAGGAAGAGAGACAGCAATGACTAGTCAGTGGGGCAACCAGAACTTACACACCATTTGTCAGTTACATTTATCATCCTAAATAGTGTGGTTCGCGGTGCTACAAGTTAATTACAATAGTATGTCAAGGGTCCCTAATTGCTACAACAGACCTCCATATTACAATAATAATGGAAAAGTTGAGACTATTGTGAGAATTACCAAAATGTTACAGAGGTGAAGTAAACACTTGTGAGAAGAATGGCAGAGGTGGACTTGCCTATGACAGTGTGGTTCGGGCCTCCCAGGTCCAGGGCTCAGGTCCCTTTCTGCAGCCCCAGTTCGATTCCCCAGCCAGGGCTCTTAACCTTCAAATGGCACAGCAGACCCCCCCACCTCCCACCTCTACCCCACAGCAGTGTATTCAGGAGATCTGCCTGGTCTGCTCCCCACTGTGTTTCTGAGGCCTCTGGCCTGCAGCCCAGCTCTTCTATACACGCGCATGCACACACACACTTAACGCACCCCCCCCCCCAAAGCCTTTACCTTGTAAGAAGCACATCATTTGTGACATGCAGTGAAGTCAGGTACAGCTGTGTTGATCAGTCACTGTGCTATTTATTACAGATCCAGTACTTAGAAAGTTGGAGGTTTGCGCCTTAGACCACCTTCCTCCGTTTCACCCAACACCCTCCCAACCCTACCTCCCCCCAGCAAATACAGCCTGTTTTCTTTATATGTGAGTTCGGGTTTTTTTGCAGGGAGATTGTTTATTTCTCCTTTAGATTCCACACAGAGGTGAGATGATCTAGTCTTTCTCTTCTGACTTAGCATAATTCCCTCAAGGTTTATCCGTGTTATCTCGGATGGCGAGATGTTGTGGTGGATGATACTCCTGTGTGCATGTGCTGTGTACGTGCAGCAGGCCCCTGCCGCACGACGGTGTCTTGGCAGCTGCACATGGCCCAGGTGTGCAGTGTGCGGTAGCGTCTGTGTCTCTGAGCCGTGTGATGTGGTGCAGCACCACAGCACCCTCTCAGAGTCTCTGAGGCTGGCTGCCTCCAGGCTGTGCACCCTAACGTCATTATTTGGGTGCTGGGATCTCTGCGTGTCTTGGTGCTGTGGTGCACTGGTGAGCAGGGTCGCTGCACCTCTACCACTCGCGCTCCCTCTCTCAGCTGAGGGACGGCGGTGGTCCCTGCGGGGCAGGCAGGCCTGTTCCCGCACCAGCGCACATTACTGCCCTTTGCCCCAGGGCGCCTGGGTACCACTTGTTCTAGTGGCAGAGAGCGGAGCAAGGCCTGCCCGGCCTGGATGCTGCATGTCTCAATGCCTGTCCTCCAGGGCCATGTCGTGACTGGTGTCTGCTGCTTGCCGCTTCTCCCGTTGTTCTTTGCTCACGTGTGCGATCCCTCTGTATTTGGGGCTTACTAAACCCTTGCCAGATCTGACTTCGAGATGTTTTCCCCTTTGGCACATTGCTTTTGCATTTGTTTTACCTGCGTTCTAGTTTGTGTAATGGTTCCCAGATTCCAGACATTGAGCCTCCAGTCCCGTATTGTTACCAATAGCAGCAGGACAGGCTGACGGATGTGGCCAGGACTCAGGAGATGGCTGTGTACGTTCTGTATTGTAAGAGGCGAGTCCATTAATAAGCTTGGAACAGGTCTTATGGTGCGATTCCCTGACCTGTCTCTGCACTACTTAGTTTGCTTGATAGAAGTGCAGATTTAGGGGCTTCCCTGGTGGCATAAGGTTAAGTGTCGGTACTGTCACCACTGTGATTTGAGTTTGATTCCCCCGTGGAGCTGACCACATATGGCGCAGCAGACTTTTCTTGCTGGCTGCTCCCCTCAGCAGTGTGTTTCAGTCCATCTGCCAGTTCTGCTCCCCACTCTGTCCCTGGTGAATCCTCTTACCTCCTCCCACTATGGCCTGCACCCCAGTTTGTCTGTGAATAAATAAATCTTTAAAAAAGAGCGAATTCCTGGCCTCACTGAGCTACTGAATCCGGAGCTCTGGGATGCGGCCCCGCAATCTGTGTTCCAAGAGGTTGTCAGGGAGTTAGGCGCTGAGGGTTGGGAGCCACTGAAATACTGGACCAAGACCTGGAAACCTCCAGTTATGTAGGAGCAGGCTGAGGCAGAGACTCCATCAGGGATTTTTGTGCTCAGAAAGTTTGTTCGGAGTGCTCTGGGTCTTGGGACCAAGTACTCTTCCTAGGGAGAGGAAGGAGGTGGGGAGTAGGGTTGTGCCAGGGAGAAGCTGTGCTGCTGTCCAGTTTAAGCAGATGTTTCCGCTGACTTGGACGGTAGGCTCGTCCGTCACAGCCATCCCTAGTGGATGAGGGGTTTGGCCTTCAGACTTCGGTCCTATCGCCGAGTTCTGGTTGCCCCCAGAGATTATTTGACATTAGGCTCCAGTGCTGAAGACTAACTTCTCAAAGCCAGAAGTATGCACAGCTCCTGGGAGAGTTAAGTGCAGGTTCCTACAGGCATGCTAGAATGCTAGAATGGCGCATCCCTGGTGCAGTAATGTGGATGGGAGCTGTTTAGTGGGAGCTGAGTGGTAGGAAATGGTACGTACTGCTTTGTGCATTAAGTAGCCTGTGAGTTTGACATTTTTTTGGGCTGTTTTTAAAATTCCCTCCACCAGCCTGCCACGCATGGTGCAGGCACCTTGTCCATTATGTATTACCAGACAGTTTTCCTTCCCGCACATCACTGCAAAGATGGGGGCCACTGTGCGTTCACCCCTTGCTGGTCTCACTGTGGGACTTCTTTCTGTCACCTTCGCTCACTGATGCTACTACCAGATTTTCCTTAAGGGGAATTGGATGGAATTGGTACAGAGACACGGAAGAGTAGACAGAGACTTTGTTACTTCGGGTTACATCACTGGGTGGTGGTGTCAGGCTGGTGGGACACTAGGGTTGATGTGTTTAGGTGCATAATGCCGGGCCTCGTGGTAAGTAAACATTTTGAGAAGTAAAGGGAATACATCTTTAATACAAGGTGGTGTTAACGATGATGGGCTGTGGTGGCAAGTATAAAGCCCCCCCAGAAAAAGTTGTCTCCGCAAGCTGGGGTCATTATGTTAGGATGGGATGGCAGGCGGGATTAGGATGCAGTCAGCTGACAAAGCCAGGGCGCTTGCCCAGTGCCCCTAGGTCACAGGGTTGGTAGGGCATAGCAGGGTCAGAGTTGTGAGCCCTTCAAACTGACTGTGCGGGCTCCGAGCAGGGTTATGGAGAGAGGAGGTGTGCAGCCTCTGGGACGAGGAGGACTGGCGCATGGCTTTGCTTAGAGCCGGTGGCTGGGCTGCAGCTCTGTGATGCCTGAGTTTAGTCCTGGCCCTCAGTTGGCTTCACCTCAGCAGCTATAGGTGCTAAGTCTGCTGCTTCCTGGCAGCAGTAGGAAAGATCATTGAGCGAGATGCTTCAAGTGTCACTCTTGAGGTTGGCCAGCCGTTGATGGCGTAAGTACACCTGAAGAGTCTGACCTAAATGGTTTTCACGGGGTTTGGGCTGAGAGCACTCTGAGTTACTGTGCTAGTGTGTAACAGGCAGCTCGGACCAAGCGAAGAGCACCTCCCAGACATTGTGCCAAGGCGGGGAGGAAAGCCCCCTACCCCAAACAAAGGATGTCTCCACAACCTGAGGGGCCCCCAACTTTGCTGACTAGCGGCTTTAGTTCCACCGGCAACCCCAGCTCTGCTGTGCCGAGTAGCCTGACGAGGACCCTCCTAGACTTCAGAGACCCGCGCTGACTAAGCATGACAGAAGAGACGAGGGAATTCAGCTGTGAACAGAGGTGGGAAGTTAGTGGACAGCTGTGGCAGAAACCACCATCCACACCCCAACCTCATGGCAAGTGGCTGCAGAGTACAGGGCAGCTTCCTGGCACCTAAGGGGCGTGGGGGGTGGCGGCAGCTGCAGCGAAGGCAGTGCAGAGAAGTGTTGGTGTTGCTCCCTCCCAGCCTCTCAGGGCTCTCTGACCATGCCCAGGAAAGTTCAGCCTTCCAGTGCCTGGGACTGCCCAGACAAGGTCTGACATGCAGAGAGCTTCCGGGGTACCCAGCGCTGCCTCCCCCCCCAATTCCTTCTCCCTCTGCTGGCAGCTTCTGTGCATCAGTTTTCCCTGAGCTACAGCACCATCTATCGGGAAGTGGGTGCTCTGCACCCTCAGATTCTTGAACTTGTGGTGAAGCTAAGGGCCAGCGTGGGAGTGGAAAGTTACAAGAGCTGCACCTTTGGTCCTAGGGGGCTACCTACGTCCAGGGAGGGGGCAGCGCCCCGAAAGCGACAGCACGGAGGTGCAGAAAAGATCTTTCTCTTTCTGCTCCAGTGGTGCCTCTGGAAGGGTTTTCATTGCAAACTGTATTCGCTTGGAGGGAAGTGGCGCGTTTCCACTGTCACTTACTGCTCGTTGGTTTGTTTTCCCAGGAGTCTGGCTGGGAGTTGAGTGGGACAACCCGGAGCGAGGCAAGCACGACGGGAGCCACGAAGGGACTGTGTACTTTCGGTGCAGGTGACTTTCCATTCTGAAGTGGCCTGGTGGCGTCGGGTAATGTTTAGCGGTTGGACAAAGGGAGATGGAGGAGGAGAAACATTTGGCTCTTGGGATCATTTTAATCTAGAATTTGGTTGACTGTAACAAGAAAATGCTGTTGGTAGGGTTTATTCCTTGTTCTTAACATTCTCACCCTTAACCTTACAGGTAAGGCTGCTTTGTTTTTTTTATAATTGAATCTATATGAACATTTCTCATTTATTCATTCACATTTTATAATTCATTAAGTGAATAATAGAAAAGAGAACTAGCCTACCTATTCAACAAGAAACAGTTGATTGAACAGAACACCGAACAGCCACATGGAGGAAGGCTAGGCCTCCGCGGCTGAAAGTTGTCATGCGGAGTCAGGTATTATGTTGCATAGCTGCTATTCGTCTTTCCTACTAATATTTGAGAACATTTATTTTTCTACTAATATTATTAACTGATGTCAGAGAATTTACCTTATGCTCTGAAAAGGACGGTGGGGCGCTTTCTGGCTGACTCCATCCTTTACGTTTTTGTTTTCCTCAGGTATCAGTTTCTCAAAAGGATCTCTTGATATTATGCTTATTTTTCTCAAGTGCTGCAAAAATCAAGAGGCTCCGAACTGCTTAGAACTGTTTTTATGACCCTGAACAAGACTGAATTTCCTCACCTCTAAAATCTATGTCGAAATTAAACATAGCAATGGAAAATTTTTCCTGTGGTGCCTGCTTCTGCACTCCCCTTCTCAGAGCTCGTTTAGTCGTCCCTGATGACATGGGCCTCAGCGGCTTCTGGGTAGAAGTTGCTTTTGGTCGTGTTCACCTGAGCACTGAAGTCACGGCTGCTGCAGTCCTGGCCGAGCTGGGGCTGGCCCTGACGAGCCAGCTGAGGCCATGGTGGAGGGCAGGGCCCGCTGTGTGCAGCCTCGCCCTGCGCGTGAGCATTTCCTTGCACCATTGATTTCTCATGTAGTTGGTGCCTGAGCATTTACATTTTAACCTGTGTCTCATCTTACTGTAAAATACTTTCCTTCCATTTCATTGACCTGTGCATTTCACTCACTGTAAAATTCTGATGGTAGGTAAAGTTATCTAAAAAGACATTAAATTTCATTGAACGTTTCTGGGGCAGTTGAAACAGGAGCGTAGGGACCCATGTGGTGGAAAAATCACTTGTCTGAACTAAGCGGAGTACTTTCATAGGTGTTAGTGCTTATTGGTGTTAATTAGAACATGACTTCGCCTGGTGTTATACTAAAATCTTAGAATCTCTAAATCAGACAGAGTTAATTATATCATATGCATTTATCATTAAGCAAATTCAGATGTCTTGTTAATATATACTTCCTTTTAAGACACTGCTGCATTTTTTAAAGTTTATACATACAGAATGGGGTACAGCCCACAGGTACGGGGATGTGAGAAGACTCACCAGAGACAGAGTGGGGAGCAGACCAGGCAATTGACAGGAGAGGTCTGCTGTGCCCTGTGGGTCAGCAGATGGCGGGGGGTGGAACTCGCGCTGCAGAGGCTCCGTTCACTTCATAGTGCTGCACTTTAACCTGCTGCACCACCAGGAAGGTTCCAGGACATTGCTTTTTTTATTCTAATTTTACCTGGAAAGTCATAATACAATATATTTAGAGATGTTTTCATGATGGTTTCATCAAACCAAGTGAAAATTGCCAGATCATAAATTTTGTCCCCATATGCTTGAGAATTCCATAAATGGCATTTACCTGTTATAAATAAGAAACATCTGAGTTTAAAGTTGTCATATGACAGGAGAGCTATGATTCTCATCTCTTCAGATGCCTGTGTGTGAAATGACAGTGTGTTAGACATACAATATAGTTTTGTACTTTGACACATAAATCTTATAAAAGTTATTTTTGCATTTTAAACAAAGTTCTGTCAGGATATGTTGATGTGTTTGAGCACAGTCTTGAGCACACCAGCCCACAGTATGACTACATTCGGGATGAGGTACTGCCTCTCTAGGACAATAGTTTGGAGGAGGAACACAATCTTCAAGGCCCAGCTCATGCCATTTGTTTTCCTGTTATAAATACCCACATCCCCTACCAAAATTCAGCTCATGTTGGTCCATGAAACTCCACTTTATAATAAAAAGTTGCAGTGGTTTAACCTCTGCTTTAAAAATGACTTTAAAGAAGAGTAGAGATGGGCTTTATCTTGGGGGGAGGGGAATAAGGGAGAGACTTTTTTTAAGGATGTTAGCGTCCTTATTTTTATTGCATGTGTTTCTTATACTCAACTCTCTGGGCTGGTTATAACAGGTATAATTAATATGTTTCATTGCTGATGAAATACAATAATGGGTTACAAGACTAGCATGAAAAATTCTAGTGGAGTTAAAATCCTGGTTGTGGACTCAGTCTTCCAGGTAGGTCTCTAAAATTATGGATGACAAGAGACATTTTGTGGGGGTGGAGTGGGGAATGGGATCAAAAATGAGGGGGTGGGGAGGGAAGTGCAAGGGATTATATAAGGTGATGGCACATGGGTGAATTGGTGATGGGATACCCACAGGGATTACAATTGAGATGGAAAAACAAATGTATAAAATGATGTAAAAATAAACTGTTATAAAATAAAATAAAATTAGGGTTGAAAAATAAAAACACTTAAAACCTTGGCAGGATCTATGCACCCGTGTTCATTATAACATTTACAATAGCCCAAAGCTAGAAACAACTTACATGCTCATCAGCTGACAGCTATGTAAAGAAGGTGTGGTTATAGCTACATACATTGAATATTACACAGCTATAAAAAAAGATGAAGCCCTGCTGTTAGCATCAACCTGGATGAACCTGGAAGGTAATTACCCTTATAATCTCGACAGGGAGACAAAAATTACACAACCTGAATAATTCACTCATGGTATACAGTAGAAACAAACAAGCAAAAACAAGCTTTTGGATTATGGAACCAGTTAGTGGTTACCACAAAGTGAGATTGGATAAATTGGGGAAAAGGAGACAAAGGTACAATAAAGAACAGAATTGAACTTTGGTGGTAAACTTGGTGTAGTGTGCACATGCTGTGCTCAGGGATGCACACCTGAAATTTCTGTAATGCTGTGAGACACTGCTACTTCGCAGGGTAGCAGTGGGCTGGTGATGCTTTTTCTTTGAATAGTTGACACTATCAGACGAGGATTAGGGGTCTGTTACGTGATCCACCTCAACAAGCCCCTCTGTACTTGAGTTTGGATGATTCCTTGTGACTCTTCAGTTTCAGTTTGAGCTGTTGTTTTGTTGTATAATCTAAGGTAAATATGGCAAACTGAGCTGTCATTACCCATAATTAGCATTTGCGATGCTGTCCATTAATAGCTTATGTAGCTATGTAAGATTTATGGCTGTGAACCAGTTATTAGAGTCTTTCTCAGGTGCTCTGTTCTCTCCATCTGTTGTTGGGGGCAGGGGTGGTGAACGGTTCAGTTTTCCTTAAATGGCAGAGTAGCTTTCCGTTGTTTTTTTTTTTTCTCACTCTCTACTGAAGACATAGAAGCATAGTTCTGGAGTTGTTACAATGGGTCCGTATTCTGCCACCCAACTTTTATTTGAAAACGTTCTTTTTCCAAGCAGTTCTTTGGTTTTTCTTCTCTGACGAGCAAGAAATGCTGAAGTGTGACTTTTGCCCCTTATGAGTGGACTCGGCAGTTGAATTAGAAGCCCTGTGGCCCCATACCCTGTCACAGCGCCGCATGACATGAAAATGAAAGCTGCTTGATTACTTCATCTAGTGTGTGTCATAGACCTTAGCAGCGTTTTGAGGTTCTTGAATGAGCAGGAGTGAATCTCGTGATGCGGCATTGTAAAGTGTTAGCATGAGTAAAGGAACGCTAAATACTCTGGCAGTGGGCAGTTTGGGCGCTGGTCTGCAGGACAGGTAGAAAGTGTCATTTCCAGATGCCTCTCGTGAACCAGGGCAGAATGAATACATGCTGCTCAAAGCAGTCTACAAAAGATCTTTCTTGCTCTTTTGCTACTGGTAAAGTGAGTTCACAAGTCTGTTTTTAAGGTGTTTCAGTAGGCAACGTGCATGGGACAGAATATTTCCCCATTTGTGCTGAGTGGTGTGTTATGTAACCTTGCTGAGGTGCACTAAATAACTCCCTGACTAAATACTAGCATCAGCAATGTTGACCAGAAACTCCCCAGAGACCTGGGTTTGCCCTGTATCAGCCCCAGAAAGAAAGCTGCTTACCGTGGGAATTTTGAAATTTGTTTGGGAAACCCTTTACTTTTGAGTCATAGTGTCAGACTCAGCATGTAGAAATAGAAAATGTACAGTGAAACTTGAATTTCAGATAAGCAGTAAACTATTTTTTGGCATATGTATGGGACATGCTTGAGACATACTGAACAGTAATTTGCTGTTTCCCTGAAGTTAAAATTTTTTTTAAAGGTTTGTTTATGCTTACAGAACTGGGGTGTAGGCCAGAGGTGTGGGGTGTGAGAGGACTCAACAGAGACAAGAGTTGGGAGCAGAACAAACAGATCAACTAAAATACACTGCTGAGGAGAGCAGCAGGCGGGTCTGGAGAGACCCACACCCCGTGGGTCATTCCCTGGCTGGGGATCGAACATATGTTGCAGTGGCTTCAGACAGCTTCATAGAGCGGTGCTTTAAACCGTTGTACCACTGGGGAGGGCCCTGAAATTTAAATTTCACTGGGCATTTTGAAATTTATCTGATAACGCTACTGGGGGTTAGGAAGATTGATTCTTGGTGATCAGTCTTCACGCGACGTCATGTTTCTCATGGCCATGGTCAGGAAGTTGATTTTGCTAGTAGCATCTATAATTGGTGGGTTGAAGGAGAAAGGATGTTGAACAAGCCAAAGGTAAGATTAAGTATTTTAGTGTTTGGATGTATCATCTTCCTATCAATTTAGAATCTCTGGAGTTTATGTAAATTATAAGTTTGTCTTTGGAGATTTGTTTTTGACTAGCATGCATTTAGCTAGTGGTTTTCATTATTTGCTGGGCTGTTTTATCTAGAACTGTTTTATGCCAGTAATGTTCTAGAAGAGACTGATCTTTGATTTATTCTTTGATCTGTAAAGAGCATCTTACCTTGTTTGTAACTATCTAACACCATTCCTAACTCCTTTCCTCTGCCTACAAACTCAACAGTAACAAAGATACTTCCTGAGTTTTGTTACACTGTATTAAAAGTGCAAATTGAGGACAGTGGGAACCATAGTACTCACTGTATTAAAAGTGCAAATTGAGGACAGTGGGAACCATAGTACTGTTCTGCTTTGTTTTCGCCTGGAAGTGTGCTACTTTTTAAGCTAGTGCTGTTACACTTTGTTTAAAACATCTGATAGTTGGAAGTCAGATTTCCCTCTTTATGGCCCCCCTCCCCCCATGTCCTCCTTTGAGGAAGACCAATAACATTTCTTAACTTTTCATTTCACTAGAACTTGAAATTATATTATTGCATAAACTGAAACCTATTCCATAAATGTGAGATTCTGAGAACAGTTTTTGATGTAAAATTTGTGCACATTTCGATTGATCTAGGTATGTAAACTAAAGTTCTGTGTTGTCTGGAATTATTTTGTCAACACTTAACAACATGCCCTGGGATTTAGTTGAACTGCATTACCCGTAAAGCTTTAATGTTAATAATAGTTGTCAGTATACATACGGCCCCTTTGCCTGCTGTCATAATAGAAAAGTAGAGGAGCTATAACCTGAAAGTGATCTTTATAATTTCTTTAGAAAAAACATTGGTTTTTGAAACCATAATATTTTACTTAAAATGCTATGGTCTATAAATATTTTATTTTCAGTAATGTGTCTACGATGCTACTTTATTTTCTTTTTTCAAGTTTATTTTTGTATAGAACTGGGTGTAGGCTAGAAGTGTAGAGGTATAGCGGACACCCCAGAGAGAGTGGGGAGCAGAACAGGCAGATGTACTGAAACTCACTGCTGAGGGGGCAGCAGGGAAACGGTCTGCTGCTCTGTATGTGGGTCCTGCAGACGGGCCTGCTTGGTGCCAGCGAGAACAGAAGCACCAGCACATTGCGCCAGACTCCTCCTCATCTTCTGGTCAGGTCAGAGTCTACTTTTTGTGCAATATACATTAGACCAAGGATCTTTTTATCTTTGAAGGCATAAAATATTTTTAGAAATGAGAAATAAAATATATTGCATACTGAAGGAAGTTTAGTCATCCTGAAATAGTGATCAAAACTATTTTAGATCAAATATCTACTAAAATTTTGAGGTAATGATGAGAATAAATTTTAAAAAAACTAGCAACTTTAAAGTTTTACAAAGAGATCCATAAACTCTCTTGGTGACAGTGTACTATGTATATTACTATAGTTTGTTTACAACGGGAGGAAATAATGAATTGGATCATTATTTTAGCTGTTGCTACATGGTATATCACCCCAAAACTTGGAGCTTAAGACACCCATTTTTTTCATGATTCGTGTCTTGGGCTTTGGGGCGGAGTTTACTAGAACAGTTATTTCCATTCCGGATTCTGCTCACTCACCAGGCTGGGTGTGTGCCGGCGGGCCCTCCTGTGGGTGGAGCTGGTCTCCTGTTCCCTTCGGCCTGTCTCCGTCGCCTAGCATGAGCTGCTTCGTACAGTGTCTGGTTCCAGAAGTGTGAACTGGAGACTTAGTCTAGACTCTTGGTAAAAGAGTGGCTGTGGCGAGCTTCGTAGTGCTGCACTCTAACCTGTTGCGCCACCAGGGAGGGCCTGTCTAATTATTTTTATTTGCTAGTATATTTGTAAATAAATTTGCAAAGCAGGCTTGTTTACATTCATGGCACACAGTTTATAAGACATTTTGTAGTCTTACATGTCTGAGGATGACGTTTCTGTGTCCTTTCTCTCTCCCTTTAGACACCCCACAGGAGGGTCCTTTGTTCGCCCGCACAAGGTCAATTTTGGAGTGGACTTTCTCACTGCGGTAAAGAACCGCTACGTGCTAGAGGATGAACCAGAGGATGATGGAAATAAGCAGGTCGTGACAATTGGGAACAAACCCGTGGAAACTGTTGGTTTTGACTCTGTCATAAGATGTCAGAGGTAAGTGTCCTTGATGGAGCCAGAGCCAACCCAGAGTCATGTCAGGGTTCGGGTTTCAGTCCAACTGACCGTGTGCTGATGCCCCGTGTTCTCCTCCCTGGTACAAACCACAAACTGAAACTGGATGAATTTGTGGACTGAGCATTTAGGGGAATTTAAATTCTGTTTTAGCATGGACATATTGGGCTTCTAAATTGCAGCTAAATCATGACTTCCTGTTCCCATTTCTACCATCCTGTCTCGCACTGATGGGCATCAAAACCTAAGCGGACAGCTGGGTCTCATGTGTAACATGGCGATGTTGCTGCTGGCTGAGGCCTGGCGTGGGCATATGTCCCGGTGGTGACCGTGATGTGGCGGTGGGCGAGCAAGGGCTTTCACCTCACAGACACTTCTGTCACTGGGCACTTTTGAACCTGCAGAACCCATCTTTGACCAAGTACCTCAAGGTGTCACCTGCCTTTCTGAGAGGTCCAAACAGCATGTGAAGACGGTGGAGTCCCAGCATCCTCTGTTCTCTGTGGGTTTGATTGTGCGAGAGCGCTCTGTTCGCTCCAGGGCTCACTCAGCCACGCTGACCCCACAGGCATAGTTGCAGTCTGAGGGCTGAGTGCTGCGGTGCTTGCCCAGCCTGGCGGGTCCTGGCGCAGCACCCAGCAGCCCTCCTGTCAGCTTCTGAAGTAAAAGGAAATACCAGTTTCCTTAGTTTTTGTTTGTTACTATAAAGATTTAACAACTGCTTGGCTTTGTGTCCATCAGCAGCCTACTTATGCACTGTTGAGAATTAGATGATGAAAATTGAGCCAAAGAAAGTGACAGCCAGTGACAGAGGTCGCTCACAAATGGCTCGCTGTCTGTCCTCTGATGTGCTTGGACTGGAGAATTGTGTGCTGGGTAGTGTAGCATTCTTTGCTTTTTTTCCATTTAAGATGCACATATTTAAATACCTTGTACTTCAAACCTAACCCAGATAAGTTTTAGTGCGTTGCAGACTGACTTCCCTCCCCTGCTTGTGAACAACTGCGTCACTCGTGCGTCTTCTCTGGTGAGCTAGCCGGCTCCCTGACATCCTGTGTTCAGTGACTAGCTGGTTTCTTTCTTGAAGCAGACCAGGTGCTGGAGACAGTCAGGCTGGACTCAGATGGCAGCTCAGCCACTGTCTAACTTGGAGGCAAGGTAGAGCTGGTTTGTTGCAGTTTCTGAGTTTCAGTTTCTTCATTTTCAAAATTGTATAGCTGTCGTGCATACAGGTGAGATCCTGCAGCGAGTTGTCTGTTGGGAATGCAAGCCTCGAATCTAAGCCACTGCGGATTTCCCTAGTAATGTTCAGCTAATTAGCTTCAAGTTTGTGCTATAGGACTTACAGCATGATTGTAAAAGAGCCTTATGTGCTTTCTCTTGGTGCTGGCCTATCTCTGATTTGAAATCCTTGTAAACTCTGTAACAAGGTTCCTCTGGTCCACTCACTGGGGAACAGCAGGGTATTGTAATCCCAGCGGGCATTAGCGGCATCTGTCAGATAGCACAAGCCACACCTCTCTTTGATTTTTTTTTTAATCCCTGCAAAACTGGGTTTTGATGATTGCAAGTATCCTCAAAACTCTTCGTGGAACAGGAACTAGAAGTGACAGTGTCCAGTCTGACCCTCGGCACAGGGGGCCGCACAGTGCCCTGTGCATTGAGCTCACTGGACATGAACAGCTGCTGGGCCTATGGCCCTGGGCTGTGGTCGTTCTCCCCTCCTATAGCACTGAAAAGTTACCCAGGAGCTGAGGCTGTCAGGCATGCCCTAGAACTCTGCTGTTACCTTTCCACCTAATTTTTGATGATTACAATGTCCTCTGCTTGCCTTTCTCCCAGAGGTGGCCAGTTAATATGGCTCCCACCATGAAGACTCTGAGGGTGCTGCCCGCAGAGTGAACTCAAAGTTAATATGGCAGCTTTTTAAAATTCTGTTAAGATCTACATATCACCAAGTTTACCATTTTAACAATTTGATTTTATATTTTATTTATGCACACAAGAACTGGGGTGCAGGCCAGAGGTGCAGGTGCTGAGGGGATTCACCAGAGACAGAGTGGGGAGCAGATCAGGCAGACCTATTGAATTCCAATATTGAGGAGGGGGCAACAGGGAGATAAGAGGGGTCTGCTGTGCCGTGGGTGCAGATTTAACTCCTGCGCCACAAGGGGGGCCCCATTTTAATTGTTTTTAAGTGTGCAGTTCAGTAGTGTTAAACACTGTCACCGCTATTTTCCTCCAAAGCCCTTCCACCTCCCAAATTGAAACACTGTGAACAGCGCTTCTCTCTGCCCCCTCCACGGACCTGTATCAACCACTCCCAGCCTCCTTGGCCTGGCCACCCCTGTTCTGAGTGGCATTGCGCTCTTCTGGATAGCTCGTGTAGGGGGGTCACGTGACGTCAGCATTCATCTCTCTCTGACTGGTCTACTTACTTAACGTGATGTCTTCTGACATGCCCTTGCTGCAGCATACATCGGAATTTTCCCCTTTAAAGCTTATAATAGGGCATTATCTGGTGGCCCAGGTTTATCCACCCAGTTATATTCTGAGGGACGCTCGGGTTGCCCACCACAGGTGGTCGTGGGCACACATCGGGCATCTCAAAGATGCGGAGTCTAAGGCACAGGGCAGAGGGGTGGAAGGGGCATGATGCCACCGGGCTCCACTAACAACTGGGGGGCACAAAACGCGGAGCCCATGGCGGGCAGCACCCTCAGAGTCTTCATGGTGGGAGCCGAGTGCTCAGTCCTCCGGCTTCAGCTTTGCTGTTTGTAGGGTCCCAGGAGAGAAGTAGCTGGCCCATGCAGCTGCAGACATGTGCTGTGGTCCTGAGCTTGTGGCGTCTGACCCGCGCAGCTCTGCCTCAGTGCCGCTCCAGGTGCTGCGAGGAAAACGGGGGACACGCGGCCAGAGGCCCTTGATGGCCAGTGCCGGAATCCACAATCCCCCACTTCCAAGGACATGCAGGCACACGGGAGGTGATGTGCTGAAGTAGACAATACCGAAGATGAAAGAGATGCATGTGGGCCTGCTGTGGCCATGGCCTCCCTCTCCTGGCGGCTATGGACACCAGCTGTCCTGGGATTGGGCGCTGCTCTGCACGTCTGAAACACTGCTGAGCCTCAGCGCCAGCGGGTCCATGTCACACCCGTGTGAACTGTGTTTCCATGCAGTCAGCTGAGCAAGCTCCGAGAGATTTCCCTGAGGAACTGCGCGGTGTGCTGTGCTGGGCACCCAGGAGGGATCGCCAGCGCCTGCCCTAGTATCCTTTTCACCGACTGCCCTGCGCCGCCCTTGGGTCTCACCCCGCATCTGCGCTCCAGTGTCCTCTCGGCAGCGCCGTCTCACCCTTGGTACCTGCTGCCTGATGAATCGTTGACCCTCTTGCCCTGAAGCTCTCAGGCGAGGCAGGGAAAGGACCTGGAGCAGCAGCTCCGGCCACCCTGGTGGGCTGAGGGAGCCCTTGCACTGCCAGCCTGACACCAACCTGCCTCCTGTGCTGCCCCAGACGGCTGCCCACCGTGGGGGCCCTTCCCGGCTCACTAGTGTCCTCTGAGCGACCTGAAAATAGAAAAGGGCTGAGTTAAGAATGCCCAGTGGCAAATTCCCTCCCATTGAAAGCTCAGTTCTCAGTTCTCTGCCTGTCTGACCTCTAGTGTTGGTCTGTCAGTCAGTGGCTGACAGTGGGTCCTTCACGGGGGGCTGGGTGGTCAGGGGCTGGCGGGGACACGGGGGTCTACCTGCCAGGGCCAGTCCCGTCTCAGCATATCCAGACGCATGCGGCCTCCAGGAGATTTGCAGGTGCAGGGGTTTGGGGGGTCTGGTCGGATCAGCAGTGCGCTAGAGAGTGAGCACACTGTTTGTTTATTCTGCTCTTTCCCAGCAAAAAGTGCCCCCACACTGGAAGAAATGAGGGTTCAGGAGTAATCGAGTCTCGGCCAGTAGTTGCAGACACGGTGGAGAAGGACTGTGGGTGCCCACTGAATTCTCCCAGCTGACGCCTTGCTGCGTGGCCTAGCGCAGTCATCCTGTGGGGGCCGAGCCCTCACCAATGCCATTGGCTGTGCAGGACATGGGCAGAGCCAGCTGAGCACTTGTCGCAGAAGACCGCTGTGTCCCACGGATGCCGAGCTTGGGCCGAGACAGAGCATCTTGGCCTGTGCGTGCGAGAGTGACCACACTGCTTGGGGTTTTTAGAACTGATTTTGGAGTGGAGATGGCCTGTTGCTCTGTAGAGTGGTAGCCATATTCAATTCTTGCCTGTTGTGAAAAATACGAGTGACAGAAGAATCACTAGTTTCTTTTTGGGCAGACGGACAGCTTTGCGTGCGTGGGCAGGGCTCGTGGAAACCAAGTGATGCTCAGCGTCCCTGTGCAGGGGCTGGGGCTGGAGAGGAGCTAGGCCCTGTGTCCATACCAAGCCCACACTCCTGTGGTCTCCCTGCTGACCCTCGGGGTGACTGTGCAGACATGGCCACCTCGGGGTGACTGTGCAGACGTGGCCAGGCCAGGTCAGTGTGGGGCCTACAGAGAATGTCCATCCTGTTGCTCTCTGCTGGCCTGTGCTTGCCTCTCCTTCCCTTGTTTTTGGCATGGCAGACACCCACCTGCTGCAGCCGGAGCAGGTTTCTCCTGCTCGCGTCTCGCGTTTGTGTCGGCCCTGAGGCTTGTGAGCGTGGGGTGCCGTGCTGTCCCAGGACCCATAGTTTCCCAGTGGCCGCTCGTGTTCCTTTCATTAGGACTTCAGAGTTGGCAGAGAGTACAAGCCCTCAGCATGCGGAGACAGCCCCAGAGAACCTCAATTAGTAGATCTTTGCTGTCCCCTGGAGCGACCACTGGACGCTCCTGGTGCCTGTGGCCTGCTGCGCTTCCAGGCTCACCCTTTTCCTTAATTTCCTGCTGCACGCCAACTGACCTCGGCGCCCTAGCTGCCCTGCCCACTCGGTTGCCCTGTCAATCTGCACTCAGGCCACCTCTTCCCCTGTGCGTCCAGACAATTCACTTGTGGCAGGGTGTAAGAGGATGGACTGGGGTCGAAGCAGGTGTGGGTCTAACTCGCACTAGATAACTCGCACAACACTTACTTCGTTTTCCTGGGGAGAGAGATGTACAGCAGCTGGCAGACGGGGCTGTATGGGTCTGGGTCTCTTCTCCCCCCACTTCTCACGTCTCCGGCCGGGGGGCAGTCCCTACCCCCAGGGGAGCCTCCCAAGGGGCTCACACTGTGCTGATGGGCCCAGGCCTCTCCCTTCTACCTTGTCTCTCGAGCTTTTCATTTACTGTCTCAGGATGATTTAATGGCCAGAATTTAACATGCTTCAGACACTGAACACCATGCTTACAGTCCTGTGGCTCAGTCACCCACACACGGGCATCCTTACCCTGTTTTTCCCTCCATTTTCCACCTGAGTCTTCAAATCTGACACTTCTCACCCCTTCAGAGCTTCAGCCTGGGTCCAGCCTGAGGTGCAGCCACCTTCTGACGGCCCTGCGGTCTGTCACTAACAAAGGAGCTTTTTAGGACCCGCGATTACTGCCTGGATCCAGGCCACCCCATAGCTCCCATTTCAGGCAGAGGGCAGTACAGACAGCGGCTGCATGATGTGGTTTGACCTCATTTCTGGTACCTGCACATCCTTTGCTCCAGGCACCCGGAGCTGCCACAGGCCTGAAGGCTCAGAGTGGATAGGGCCTTGCTGGCTCCACTGTCTATGTGGTGCGCCGAGGGCAGTCTCCACTTGTGCACTTTCCTGCCCTGCTTTCTTCTTCCCAGAGGAGACAGTCTCCCATGAGCTCTGTGGATGAGTCTCCTCACCCCTTTCTGCCCACCCTGCTCTGTTGCTTGAACCCCTATCTGGCCTGCCATGCCTCAGGGTGTGAGTGCTTAGTCGTCAGCCCTCACGGAGTCTATTGTCCCTGGCTGTGCTCCTGGCCCCTGGTAGTTGCATGTGGACAGTGAAGTTGGTAGTTTCCAGATGATTCTGTGGTGTGCAAGACTCTCCTAGAACCGGTTCAGTCTGGTCCAGGGCCTTCTACCTCTCCCCTGTGGCTTTTGCCAAAAGCTTTGTCCTGCCATTTATTTGTTTATATTTACATGCAGGCTAGAGGTAGGGGTGGGGGGTACTTAGGAGGGTCCTGCTGCACCTTGGGGTAACTCCCTGGCTGGGGATAGCAGCGGGATAGCTTGATAGCCCTGAAACTTTGACCCCTGCACCCCCAGGGAGGCCCTACTCTATCTTTACAGTCTTTTGTCCCCCTCATTTAACTAGTGCCTTTTGCCTTTTGTCGCACTGGTTTTTCTTTAGCTGAGCTCCTGTACAGGGCAGGGGGCTGCACCGGCACACACACACACACACCCCAATCTGGCAGGGGACCTTTTTCATTCCAGGTCGTCCTTAACCCCTTGAGCCTTCTGGGGCGCTCACTGATTTAGAGGTTCATCTCAAGTCTGTAGCATACATAATAAACCTTTTAGCTTCTGAACACACAGTGAGTGGCTTTAAGAGGAAAGGGGTGCACTCACGAACATTTCAGGCAGCATAGAGTGGATAAGGAGAGTTGAGGGCTCCAGGCTTCAGAACTTAGAGGCAGCTATTGTTACGTCGTTCATGGATATCTCTGTACTACTGTTTCTTAACCGGTGCTTTTAGATATTAGAGAGGTAAATCTGTCCAAAAACCTGTTGCCATCATGGGATGAAGTCACACGTATTGCTGATGAGCTCAAACACCTGGAAACCCTCAATCTCAGGTATGCACCCCTGTCGCCTGACTCTCATTCAGTGTGAAAGTCCCAGTCTCTTGGCTCCCTCTCGGCATCAATGGGCGGGAAAGAAGGCTTAGTCAACTTTCTCTAAGCTTAACTTAGGTCAACTTTAACTTATCTGCTAATAATTGATTATTAAAGTTTTTCAAATGGTAACATGAGGTGATTGATTAGTAGGGAATATATTCACTTTGGATTGCGCAGGTAGGATGGGGACAGGCTGGCATGTTGAGCTGACGGCCTCCATAGTTTGTTAACCTGGCCATGACAGAGGGATCATCTAGGGGCGTGGGTGTTTTTACTGGGGGGCAGGAGTGGCAGCATTAAAAGGTTTCAAGTTTGAAGCAAGCCAGAGTCCTAAATCGTGGTCTTTGGCAACTTCCAGCCGTCCCTGCTGTGTGGCAGAGAGCTGACCGTATCTTCTTTTTCTACACAGTGAAAACAAGTTGAACTTTCCTTCTGCTTCACCACCTCTGACTGGAACGTTTTCTACACTGAAGGTTTTAGTCCTTAACCGAACAGAAGTAACATGGGCTGAGGTAATCATATTTCTTTGGTTATTACCCAGTAAAAAGCAGTTTTAAAGTCTCTAATAAGGAATTGGAGCACAACTGTGGCTTCGTTTTGTTCATCCTATTACCCAACTATTAGGCTCCTTCAAACTGCATTACAGAAAGTAGTTACAACATTACTGTAGTTACACAGAATCCACTCTCTCCATCTCATTGTTCTGGGCTTTCTCCCAAGGGCACCCCACATGCGGTAAATGTGTGCTGAGCTTTGGGGATAAGCCTGAGACGTAGTTTTGGTTGAGTTTTTAGCTACTGACTTTCCCACAAGTGTCTGCTGGGCAGAGGTCAAGCAGCAGAAAGACTTTCTTGTCCTTTTCTTGTTTGAAGCTCAGCTCCCAGAATCCACCATCCTTTGTGCACAGCTGGGTTCAAAAGCAGACTGTTGGGTCCTTGGTCCAGCAGCATCTGGAGCTTCCATCTTACACTGCTCTTTCCTGTCAGTGTACTGACACTTCCCCACAGACATCCCACTTGCAGGCCACGTGTGAGTGAGGACCTTCCCAACAGAGTGGTTGGTCTGTGACATGCGCCACACTGTCCTCAGGTGCCGCTCTTACTTATATGCCCTGCTGGGCATGGCCACGTTAACTGCTCTCCCCAGGACCCTCCTTGCAAGTTACTTCTGGGTAAATTCTATCAAATTGTAAGAGTCTGCTGAGCCAGCACTGCCAGTCCCACTTGCTGACTCCAAGCACAGTGCAGGCCATACCTCATGGGCGTAGAACCTTCCTTGGTTCAGAGCATTGGAAATGCGCTGCCTGCCATTCACACTTGGCTCTGTCCTCAACGTGGAATGTCTGCGAGGTGCCTTAATTCTGAAGCGTTAACGGCCATGTGCTGGTGGCCTCCTGGCCGCACTCGGGGTGGTGCCTGGGGGGAGTAAGGTGGGGACTGCGGGACTGAGCCCTCCCTGGTCTTTCCTAGGTGCTGCGCTGCGCCGTGGGGTGGCCCGTGCTTGAGGAGCTCTACCTTGCGGCTAACAGTATTTGCATCTCAGAAAGGTAACAAGGCTCAACCCAAAAAATTGGAAGTAAAAATTTAGAATGTAAGACAACACTGGAAAATGTATTTTCCAGGTGTTTCTCGGTTCTCCTCTCCCCCCTCAAAATGAGAGGTGACTGGTTTTCCTGAGTGCATTTGTCACCATTTAGTTGTTCTGAACAAATAGCTTCATTTATATGTAATGTTACATTTTAGAAAGATTTGCAAATGATAATTAGAAAAATAGTGTTCCTGGCCCTCACATACTCAGCTAGAACTAAAACTTGACTAACTGGTTCTCAGTGAGGACAAATTCTGCATAGCAAAAACCCTTAAATATTTTTGAGGACAGGGGTTTTATTACTTTAACAAACATTTAACTTGTTTCTAAGTGGAAGTTCTGTAGTTTTAGCATTTTTATTTTGTTTTAAAGATTTATTTATTTATTTGTGCATAAAGAATTGGGGTACAGGCCAGAGGCTCAGGGGCGGTGAGAGGATTCACCAGAGACAGAGTGGGGAACAGAACAGGCAGATCGACGAAGTACACTGCTGAGGGGAGCAGCGGGCGGGTCAGGAGAGGTCTGACACGCCATGTGGTCACCTCTGGGGCAGGCAGGAATCGAACTCATGCGGAAGCAGCTTTAGATTCTCAGTGCTGTGCTTTAACCCACTGCGCCACCAGGGAGGGCCAGTTTTAGCATTTTTAATTAGCATTTGCTGATGTTCCAAAGTGAAAATGTAAAAACTTGTTTTCTTCAGTAAATTAAATGTTGCTGTGTCATCTACTTTACTGTTAGCCTTAAGTTACCATATAAGGTAAGAGTGAGTGTGGACATGCCAGCAGCCTCCAAAAGGACGGTTAGTGGCCATACGGTACTGTGAGTTCGCTTGGACGAGGCATTGCAGGCTATTAAATCTGACTCTGTTGTGAGAGAATTAGAGGCTCATAGGCAGAGGGCACCAGTTCCCCCTCAGTGAACAAAGCATGGTCCAGCATCACAGGCAGTGTTAACTTTGGTCCGTTCAGGATCCAGAACATTCTACATCACCATCAGCACCTCTGTCACTCCTTCCCCCTCAGGCTCCAGTTTAACACCAGATTAAACTCATTTTGAGTTTGTACCTTTGGAAAGAAATGAGTTTTTTTTTTTCCCATGCAGGCCGACCGATGTTCTACAGACACTCAAGTTATTAGACCTTTCTGCTAATCAGTTTATAGATGAAAACCAACTGTTTCTAATAGCCTACCTACCCAGGTAATTCGCTTCTAAAGGGACCTAACAATAATGCTTAGTAAAGTTTTAGTGGATGAATCATTGGTGATATATATGTACTTTCGCAGTGGAAATGATGATGGAATTTCCTAATTGAGTGCTTCCTTTGGGGCAGTTTTAGCTGAGTTTATTCAGAGAATTTACTCATGAGCATGCGCAGTGTGGTTGATCACTATCTATGCCTGGTAACTGGAGTTCGATTAATTGTTGGCTCTGTTGCTACTTTACAAGTTCCTATTTATTAGACTTTGGGGTACCATGTCACTTAGCACTAGACACAGTAGGCACGTCAGATGGTTGTGGAACTGTTGGAATGCAGAGTTCGTTTTACATGACCTAAGTTGGACTCCTGGTTTCTGAGCCTGTCTCATGGGATGACCCAGGGTGTGGCCAATAGTGCAGACAGCTCTAGTCTGGCTGGTAGCCACGGCCCTGGTCTTTTTGTGGACTCACATTCAGCATTTTAAATTGCAGACTAGAACAGCTGATCCTTTCCGACACTGGACTTTCTTCTATCCATTTTCCGGATGCTGGAATCGGTATATATGATCATTCAGTTTCCCCCTGGCCACTCTTGACTTAGCCGGTTTTTTTCACTTCTACACTGTAACTTAATTCTCCTCTTTTTAGGGTGCAAAACATCCATGTTTCCCTCTTTGCAGTACCTGGTAGTAAATGACAATCAGATATCACAGGTAAGAGCTGATCATGCGCCTCTTTCGCTGCAGGTTGGATCTGCGCCCATGGAGTTTATAGGGTCTGTCTGTGAGAAAGTGTTTTATATTGACAGAGAAATGCTTCTTCAGAGTAAAACTCCTAATATAAAACTCAGAGTATTAAAAAAGTTAGCTTAACAGCCACTCAAGCAGACGGTCTTGTCCTGCCTCCTGCGAAGTCACTCCTGACAATTGCTTGTTCATGATGAACCCGCCTCAGATGTGCACCAGGGACCTTTGCTCCCCAGCTGCTCGCTGAATACGCTAGAAAATTGGCCTCAGACATACTTTCATGTGTTGGGTTTCAGTGGTCATTTATCAATGAACTGGATAAGTTGCAGCGTCTTCACACCTTGTCCTGCATGAGAAACCCCCTGACAGAAGGGAGCACGGCAGAGCAGACCACACGCCAGCTCATTATTGCCAGAGTTGGCCAACTGAAGACACTGAACAAGTGTGAGGTGAGCGCTGGTGCCAGACTGTCCTCAGACTGGAAAGCAAATCTTGAAAATAGTGAGATTTTATTTGAATATGGTAAAGGCATCAGCTACTGCTTCATCCTAATGCCCTTGGCCATTGGGGCAATGCCGGGAAATAGCACGTCGCTACGGCAGGGTGAAGGAGCCAGGGTACTCTGCCTCTTTCTTGAGAGAATACAGGCAGGAAAGGACAGTCACAGAGTGTATCCGTCCCACCCTTCCCAGCACTGGTGTCTGAGACAGGGCTGCATGAGCTTGCGAGTGTTGCTCCCCGAGAGCCAATCAGCTCCCCCAGGGCAGGCCTTTGACTGGCCTCACTCTGCAACCAGTATCTTGTCCCTTGCAATTTGATTACTCACTGTGGTGCACAGTAAGTATAGAGAGCACAAAACAGATACTGGTTATAAAAATGTCTTAATAGGGCCTCCCTGGTGGCGTGGGGGGGTTGAGACTCAGCACTGTGAAGCTGTCCCATCCCCAGCCAGGGAGTGACCACGGGGCCCAGCAGACCCCTCTCATCTCCCGGCTGGCCCCCTCAGTGGATCCACCTGTCCTGCTCCCCACTCTCTGGGGAGTCCTCTCACCCCCATACCTCTGGCTTACGGCCCAGCTCTTGTGCATAAATAAGTATTTTTAAAGATGCCTTCATAATTTGTTTTTATTTCTAATCAATACAGATTCTGCCAGAGGAAAGGCGTGGAGCTGAGCTTGATTACCGAAAATTGTTTGGAAATGAATGGAAAAAGGCTGGTGGGCACCAGAATCCAAATGAAAACAGACCAAACAAAGAATTTCTCGCAGCGCACCCTAGATACCAGCTGCTCTGTCTCAGTATGTCCTTGCACACGCTGTCTGGCTTCCCTCGGGGCTCTGGAGAGTTCCTGGGTCGGTGCTTTCTCTTTCTCCCTCCACCTGGGGCATCAGTGCACACACAGGGCTTCAGGTACCCTGTGGGGCTTCTGGAGTGAGACAGCAGGTCTCCCAGCAGTAGGAAGGCGAGGTCTGTGCAGGGAGCTGTGTTTGGAGGGGACAGTGGCTCTTCAAAGGCAACTTTTCTCTGCCCTACATGATTCTCCAGACCTTTGATGTCAGGAGGTAGGAGACTTCCTGCTTTTGGAAAGGTTCAGTTGATCTCAGCCCTGCTGACCATGTACGGAGTTTTAGAAATAGTGTTTTCAGGTACAACTCACACTGGTATTTTTTTAAAGCCCCCAAGAAAGCCAGACACCCACGGCAGCTCAGGGGAACGCAGTCTTCCCAGCCACTCGCTGCAGCTGCTTCCCTGTGCACCCCAGGCGGGCGCCTCTTGTCCCTGATGTACTTTCATTTTGTTTTAACTTCATTATCACTCCGAATTTCACTTTCATGTATTTCCAAATGGAAGAAACTCACTACATAAATTCTCCAGGCTGGAGCTGGAACATTATCTCTGAGGAAGAAAAGCTGAGGGGATTGCTTTCAAATTACTCCTATCAGCTGCCCAGTTTCCTAGCCACTTAGGCTGAATTCTGAACCACTCAGGGGAGGGGAGATTCCTAAGTGGCCCTGCAGTCAGGCGCAGGCTTTCCTTGTGATAATGCTAGAATATGGATCATGGGGGCCAGGGCGTTGGTAGGAATGTTGTCACTGGTTGGCCTAACAGAAATCAGTGGGAAGAACATGGTTTTCTTCAGTCTTCCACTTGGATGCTTTTCTGGCGGGACCTGGTTTTTGGTGGTGGAAGGTTGGTCCTCTGGCTGCTGCCTGGACACGCATCCCACATAGTGTTGGCTTCTCTGAGGACCCAGAGAGGAGCCGTGACCCGGGGGCACCCTTGGGTGAGGGCTCCAAGCATCTGACACACAACCTCAGTCTGCTGGTGACGGCACACGCCTGAGACAGCCTCCTTGGGGGCCCGTCACTCTCCCACTGTAGGTGAGGAGACAGAATTCAGGTTGGCACGGCCAGGGTTACTTTGAAAGTATAAGGTGACACTCACACGTCCTCTTTCTTGCCTTTGATTTATCTTTCCCTTCGTATTTCCTCTAACCAGAGTATGGCGCACCTGAAGATGGAGAGCTCAGACCACAGCAGCCGTTGCTGCTCAGAAACCAGCTGCTAAGTAAGAACTGCAAATCCAGCTTGTATTAGGAGGGTCTGCTAAGCCCTAAGTGAGGGCTTCAGTTCCACAGAAAGCAGGGTGACATCTCAAACTTGCCTGAATTCTTACAGTGAACAGTCTACTGATTCCTGGGTTTTAAGCTGATCTAATAGTGTTCTAAATGTGGGATGTATTTTAGGTAACTAAATTATGGTTTGAAAACTTGGCTTTCATTACATTAGAGAAAACCTAGCTAAGTTGTCAGGAGAGAGATACCAAGGGAACAGAAAAAGTGGTAGAGCATTGGTCAGACCGCTTTTGTTGTTAACCCAGTGACTCACTACTGGGAAGAATTTAAAGTATCAGAAGAGACTGTTCCCCTTAGGGTCAAAGCCAGTCACACTGAGCAGCTGCAATCAACTTGCATGTGTAACTTAAATCTGTATTGACTAAGTCTCATTGAGTCTTTTTCATTTTTGTCTTCAAGCACTGAACATAAAGTACCCTAATCGACTTGATCAAAAAATCACAGAGAAGAAACTGCCAGGTAAGAAGAATGAGTGCCTCTCCCTCTTTACCTGTTTGACTTGGTGGCCTAGGTTCGAGCCAGCTGGAGTTAGCTTAGCTCCTTCCTAGCTTAGGCTTTCTCGTAGTCCTAGCTCTAAGATACAATCACCTGCCCCTCAGAAGTGCAGGTCTCCAGTAACCATCTACTAGCAAATGCTGTCAAAAGGCCTGTGTGTCTTATCTTTGATCCAAGCTGCGTGCTGTGGCCTTCGGGATTCTCCTCCTCACCCCCGCGCTTCAGTTATCAAGTTACAGCTCTGGGGTCTTCTCTCCAGAGAAGTTGTTACCCTGGGCTTTTGGGCTGTCTGATCACCCTTTTGGATATGATTCACCTTAACCTTTCTCTTATAAGGAACCATTGAGGATGCAGTGAATCTTGAACCTGATTCACACTAAGTTCTAAAGTATAGCAGGCTAAATTTAGACAAGTGAAGAGTTGAAGAAATACCACCCTCGGTGTTAGTCAGTGAGTTCACATTGATTGGTAAGTTCATGTTTACCAGATCAGCTTGTCTCATAGAAAAGAAAGGCTTTGGTTACACTTACAGAATCTTCCAACTGACCCCAGGATTCTGGGCCAGCTTACCACTACTACTTGCCAGCCACCTCACTATACGCGCTTCTGCTAGTGTCACATGACAATGGACCGAGATCAGAGGTTCCTTCCCTTCAGATGTGAATGCTGTCAGCAGGGGCACCTGGGGCGGATGCCTAACTTGCCTTGGACTGGCTAGCTTCAGAAGTCTGCCTTTTCCTTTTCCTTTCTAGATACATGACATCAACTTTGGAGTGTTTACCTCTAGGGAGTATTTGCTCATTAAACCTCTAAGCTTCCATCCCGCGGTTTCCACTGGAAGGGACTGTGGCTGGGGCGCGCGCGGTCTTAGCTGATGGTGTGGGCTTGGTCCGCATTCTGAGACATACCCATCGAACACCTGCTCACACTGATTTTCATTAATCTTCAGGTGAAACAAACAGATTGGAATCCATAGAAAACATAGGTAACAATTATTGCTTTGAACTATTTAGCTTCTCTAAACTTGCAATAAATAGACTATTCCACACCACAGGCTGTAAGTATTTAGCTAGTAACAAAAAGTCCTTTAAAAAGATGCTGTTCTGGCCCTCCCTGGTGGCGCAGCGGGTTAAAGCACAGCACTGAGAATCTAAAGCCGCTTCCGCATGAGTTCGATTCCCGCCTGCCCTGGAGGTGACCACATGGCGCGGCAGACCTCTCCTGACCCGCCTGCTGCTCCCCTCAGCAGTGTACTTCGTCGATCTGCCTGTTCTGCACCCCATTCTGTCTCTGGTGAATCCTCTCACCCTCCGCATCTCTGGCCTCTACCCCAGTTCTGTACGAATAAATAAATAAATCTTTAAAAAAAAAAAAAAAAAATGCTGTTCAGCACAGTCATGAACAGTGCATCTGCTTTGTGGAGTTGCAAGGTGATTCCTGCACTCTGCGAGGCACTCCATGTATAGCACATATGGTGGTAAAAATACCGTAAATGTTACCAGGAAGCAAGTGGCCGTACAGTAATGGCCGCACCACAGACTCTGTCTCATCTGAGGACGTTGGTCTTGGGCTGCTGTCCAGTGTACCTGCCACTAACTGCCAAGTGGAAATTTAAACCTGTGAAACCAAAATAATAAACAGCTCTTCACACTAACCACATTTCAGCTCATTTCAGCCCATGGGGCTGGACGGTCCAGGCACAGGGAGAGCAGCATGAACAGGCGTCCACTGTCAGGTGTAGGCTGAGGACCTTAATAACCTCTTCACCTATCTGCAGACAGAAAGAGCATGGAAGTATGGGCATCCGTTAATGTGAGTCACAGGGAGACAAAGATAACTGACCCATCTCTACATTTCCGGAATGTTAAAATAACTGATTTTTATATCCATTAAGTATATTCAACTCACAAATAAGGAAAACATTTTTATTCTAAAATAGAGATAACATTTATTATCACAAGTTGCATAAAAACAGGTGCTTTTACAAAAATTAATTTTGATAGAAAAATATCTGTTTGGATACATGTGATATTTGTAGGAACGCCTTACTATTGCTGTACGTCCAGCTAAAGCTTCAAGAAACTTATAATCAAAATATCCAATATTTACCATAACCCATCTTTGGAAACGCGTAAGTGATCTCTGGCTCATTCAGATTAAGGGGGAGATACTAAATCCCACCAAGATGATATGTGGAATCAAGGGCACTTAGGTCAGACAGTTCTTTCCCCAGCTTTCCAGGGACTTAGACGAGTGGTGTGAAAGCGTGAGCCTGCAGCCACGTGGTAGGTCAGCCGCGCCTAGTCACTTACGTGGTCCACCGAGCAGTCGCAGCTGTCTTCACAAGTGTGGTCTCGCCACATGAGTTTTACAGGTGATGGCCACTTGAGCTGTTTTTATTCCCTTTGACAGAGTTCATGACAATTCAGAAGGTGAAAGGATTGCTGTCACGCCTGCTCAAAGTTCCTGTGTCAGAACTCCTGCTGTCCTATGAGAGCCTCAAAGTAAGTCTTCCAGAGAACCTCAAGTCAAGCTTAACTCCCAAAGAAAGGCATGTTGTCAGCCTGGCTCTACCCAAGAGCTTGTAAGTGGGGACCACGCACATGTTAGGTGTGTTTGTGGGGAGGGCATGTGCATAAGTAGATGCGTTCGGTAGGTTATTTTGGGGGGCAGGGAGTGCTAAGAATTTTTCTCATGTAAATTAATGGTAAATGTTCCCTAACCCCAAATATAACATTCTACTTTGGGGTGTGGGGGACCTGTAACAAGCTTTGTCATCTCTGGGGTCATTACCTCCATGCTCTCTGTTCTAATTTTAGATGCCAGGCAGAGAGATTGAACTGGAAAATGACCTACAGTCGCTACAGTTTTATTCAGTGGAAAATGGAGATTGTCTGCTAGTGCGATGGTAACAGCCAACTAATAAGGTTCAGAAATTAGACTTTATCATGATTTGGGTTAACCAGAAAAATAGGGTTTTATAACTTGCCCTATATATAGCAAAGATTGTAGCTTTCATTGGGAAGGGGCCATTTTAGTCATGTATATAACAGCAATAATAAATGATTTAAACCTACTAATGATTTCCTGATCTTTGTATTTTTACAGTTCATGACTATTTCATTATGTGAAGATTTGAATATTAAATAGGACCTAGTTTAATAAAATCAGAACAGTTACTTTCTCTCCAAGGACTAATTTTAATGGAATTCACTACTGGTTTAAAAGATCACAAAGATGACGGGGTTGGTATTTGGGGAGCTGTCCCTTAACCTGAGGGAGGCACATCTACAGGTCGGGGTGCTGAGTGTTCTTCTCAGTTGCATTGTTTTTGATATACTTGAAAAAATACATGCTTTTCTCTACTTACACCTAAATTGAGCACATAATTCTTTCACAGAAGATCATCAGCTCTGAGATTCCTTTACACATCAGGAAAACAGCAGGCACTGAAAGGGAGAAAGCAGAGTCCTCCCTGCCTTTCCCTGTGGCACAAAGCCCTGAGAGGTATTTGGTTTTACCTAAATTTAGCATAGCACGTTTAAGGTTACTGTTAAAATGGCAAAAATCAGTCTGCTTGATAAACTTCAGTTAGTGTCCACAACCAATACTGACATCAGTTTCAAACTGCCACATCCTTCAGACGCCCCAAGCTTTGGCACACGTGGTCACACGGCAGTCCTGTGAGTTCTGTCTGCCTGTAATTACCCTACTGTGGTACCCCGAACAGTCTGCAGTCCTGGCTGAAGTCCCAGCCCTTGGAACTAGACCAACTCCCAACCAACAGTGAGAGCTACTAAATTACTAGTTACAGAACTACTTTGTCTTTTTACAAACAACTTGGTATCATTCAAATCATGTACCAATATGTAGATTAACTGATTTTTAAAAGGAAACTTTGTGCAGATGTTAAGAAACCTCTCACACTGGCTACAGGTGGACGTGCAACCAGCCTCCCCTGACAGGCCGTCATCTCGCCTCAGACTGGCATTCAGGTACCATCCACCTACCCTGATCCTCAGACACAGCGAGCCAAAGTCATGCTCTCCCAGCTGCACACTGGCACGGGTCACCACAGCGCTCCTTCAGCTTCCAGAGTGCCACTAGCTCCTGTGGGGAGTACTGTGGGGACGACAGCATGCCTGCCTCACACGTCTTCTCGCACAGCCACAGGCCATCCTGGTGAAGAGGAGAGGGTGATGTGCTGTGGAACCCCAGGAGACCCAGAGAGCGTGCACATGGCAGCTTTTGTGTTCAAGTGATGCTGATGTCGTTCATAGACACATCCGGGGAGAGATCGCCCCTTGGGGACCGGTCCCGAGATGATAGCACACCCTGAGGGCAGCGGGTGTGCTGAGAGAAGGGGCTAGAAGGAGCGCTCTACAGTAATCAGTGCCTGACTCACAAACTGCAGGTGGGAATTGTTTTCCCTTTAGAGATAAGAAACTAAACTAAGAGTAAAGTACAGGGTGATGACCCCTGAGGAGGAATAAACAAAATGGGGTGCAGCAGACCCCCTGGGCTGGTGTACCTGGTGTCTTCTAGGCCCGATGGCTGCCATCCAAATGCCCATGCTCACATCTTCACCCTGCAAGTTTGAATGCAGAAGTCTGAAATGCAACTCCACTTTAAAACATCCCTTAAAATGTCACGACCTTTGCTCTGTTCCTGTTCTGTACAATGCACCATACATTGATACTACGGGAGAAGCACCGCTGCCTCCCTGGTTAGCATACAGCCTGCCGTGGGAGGAACAGACCACAGCAGGCAACTGCTGGCCCGCCTTCCCATGGGCCCTCGCCTGCCACGCGGAGGGCACGCAGGATGCACAGGCCTAGTTCTCAGAGTTGCTCGTTGATGGCGTCAGAAATTTAGGGAAAAGCAGTACTTACTGTGACATCTTCACAGCCCTCCAACCAGAGGCTGGAGTCACACTGAGTAGGCTCAAAACAATGAAACCTAGGAACAGAACTCAGAGCCCAACTTGAGGGGTAGGGACATTTCTCTAACATCTGCAGAGCAACTCCCAGGGAAAAACAGCAGTGTGCGTCTCCCCACGGCATGCTGGCCAGGCTTCAGGGCTGAATGTGGTCTGCACAAGATAAAATGAAGTACTCGTGGGTCAGAAGCCTCTACTCACCTGGTAGGTTTTTAATCTCCCCGAGTTGCTGGCCAGCCAGTGGACGATGTCCCTGGAGATCACGTACCCGGACCCACATGCGAAGGCGGGGTACGCAGGACTGGGGTACTCCAGCTCCTGCCACTTCCCCGTCCTGTCCACGGCCCAATTCAGCCTGAAACTGAGATCAGAGTGACACGCTCATTAGTGGGACACGGATCCAGTCATGATTAAGCTCGACTCTTCTGTCCCAACCACAAAGGAATAACTGAGAAGTGAGAACAGGACTGTGGTTTTAGTCTCGGGAAAGAAACTACTTAGCTAGCGGGTATTTTATATGAAAGAGTGGGCTGCAGTGTGGAGTTTCTGAGTAAAAAGCACTAATCAACTTTAAAAAAATAGTAATCCATATCATATTCCTGGAGAAACAGAAAATGGCTTCAGAATGCCAAATTTATTCTAACGTGATTTGTATAACAGCTTCTCAGTTCGGTATCTTTCCATGGAGAGCACATGAATAAAGGCCACATCCTTCCCCTTTGTTACATTAGACGGAGGCTTTTCACTTAGAAGTTTTCCCTCTCGCTATAGACTGATAAAAACAGTAGCTCTGGAGCCTAGACCACGCTTGCATGTGGTTCATCCAGTCTGTCACATTGGGTCGGGTACACAGTGCCAAGTCTCATTTGTTCACTTACTTTCCCCACCAAAAGTTAGGACCTCCCAGGTTCTTCAGGAGAATTCTATTAAAAACGGCTTCTAAGTCAATGTAGCAGTCATCATCTGTCTTCAGCAACAAGTCAAAGTTGGTCGTTTCCACAGTCCTGTAAACAAAGGGTGTGAGAGTGGTGCTAGGAAGCTGCCCCGGAGGGTGACGACACCGGGGAGCCGCAGCCAGGAAGTGGCCCAGATCCCCGTGCACCTCAGCAGCTCGCTTGTCCAACACAGCACATTCTCGCTCACAGCATCAGTGTACACAACTGCAGGCCTTACAGTAAGAGAGTGAGTGGGGTGAGAGGCTGAGCGGATTTAAGAGGTGTGGCAGGAAAGGAACAGTAAAAATACAAAACCAGGTTAGAGTGGGGCTGGGCTGCGCCGACAGCCATCACTCAGGAGGGGCCCAACAGGCACTTGCACACGGCCAGGAGCTCTTCTAGTCGACGGCCACCCCTCCCACTCTCACTAGCTGCACAGGGGCGCTCAGACTGCCATTTGGTCACGCCCACATACTGCACAGTTCAAAAAAGAAAACCTGACTCGTAACATTAAATTTCTGGTAAATGAAGTATTATAAATGGCCTGTCAGTGGTAGAGAGGGATGATTTCATTTATCTAAATATAAAAAGCAGACAAAATTGATTCCTTCGACTTACAATGCCAATTCTTACATGTCTTTAAGAGAAAAAAGAAAAAGAACCAAAGGAGAGGGTTGCCAGAGAACCAGCTGGCAGAAACCTGAATGAAAAAATTCTGGAGGAAGCTTCAAGTCAAAGAAGGGTTAACAGTGGGCGGACACCAAGAAGCCTTAACTTGACACTGCAGGCTGGGTTTTTAGTCAGTGGGATCAGGCCTGTGTGCTGTGTACCTGCTAACTAGAAATACCACTGGGGCCACTGACAGTTCACTGAGGACAGGAGCGTGGACGTGAGGTTTTGATGGTGGTGGTGGTGGGGGAAGACTGGGTAGCGGCCCCAGAACAGCCCTGTTAGATGGTCACTGCAGGAGCCCAGTGGCTGTGACGGCCCAGACTGGTGGCGGTGAGGGAGGCTGGGGCGTCAGAGGTGGGCAGAGTACAGATAAGCCAAAACTGAGAGCTAAGCTACTCGGACCTCCCACAGCTTGGACTCTGCTCCTGTAGAAAAGGCTGGAACTCCAGTCCTGACTTGCCATTTTCTGTGCCCCTCCCCACCCCGCACTCTCCAGCTTGCCCTGGCCCCACTTCCACCAGGAGCCCCCATCAGCAGTCTTGACACACAGTACAGTGTCCAGCCTACTCTTGCTGTTTCAGACACACCCACTTTGCAGCACTTACTCGTCTGCCCACAGGACCACTCCAAATGGACACGAACCTGCCCACTGTGAATCAGAGTCCTGTAACTGATGAGACTGACCCCCTCGGGACCAGGTAACCAATCACACAGAACTTGACTGCCTGTCTTGCCCTGGCCAACAGCGAGGAGGGACTTCTGGACCCACTCAGAAACCACCTCCGTGACAAAGCTTTAAGAACCAAAGATACAAAAACTCTTTACCGTTTAGTCTGGACAGATACAGCGCTAAATGTAGGGGTTCTGCAATCAAGGGGGTGCTCAGTGGGAACTCAGGATCCTAGTCACACACCGACAACTTTGTGTGCAGTGTTGACTCTGTAAAGGTAACAGTGACAGAAAGACTGCAGAGCTGCAGGCTCTAAGGGTTACTGACCTTAATATGAAAATTCCAGAAATGGCTAGTATTTTTTCAATGTGTGGAACAGAGAATGGAGATTGAAGAAGGATGTGCATGTATCGGAAACCTGGTGAACCTGACTGGCAACTGAGGGATGCAGGAAGATGGGGGAAACCAACTCAAAGGGCTGTTTCCAAATAGCCGACTTTCACCTGAGTTGGCGAGAAACGCCCTGACCGGTAGGAATGATGTAAAGGCTGTCAAATCTTGCCTGTTCTCACTTATCCGTCACACTGCAGACCTGCTACTTTAAAGATGGGAGCAGGGCATTTTCGGTGATCAATGCTCAGAGCCAGGCCCAAGAGGCCACATCCCAGGGTTGGAGGCTGGTAAATCGTTTGCAGGTTAAAAGATGCTTGGCTCTACCCACCAGCTGCACCACCCACTGTCCTCACAACCTACCATTTGTAGAAGCTCAGCAGTTTCGCAGGCACGTTCCGGTAAGTGTCAAGGACGTCCACAAAGACGATGTCACCGTGGATGCGGCCTTCCTCCCCCAGGGAGGCATCTTCCGCCTGGAGGCTGCTCATGTGCTCACTCAGTCTTCGGGGGCGAGAGCGAAGGTTCTGTAGGAGAGCGTCACCTTCTGAAAGGAAATGCGAGCTGCAGAGAGTGCTGCGCAGGAGCAAGACCGGCACCTCCACCCACGGGGCACTAAGCTCCTCTCCCAAGGCAGCCTAGGGAGATACAATCTCCTGGAGCAGTGAGGACAGGGTATGGCAACTGCCATACGCTGCTGGGGGGCAAAGAATGGTCACCCTCATGCTGCAGGGCAGTGCAGGACAGTGGGTGCCCAGAGCGGCCGGCTCCCAAACAGTGCCACCTCATACTATTTTCGTAGTCACACGGATGCTCACTGAAGCACTTAAGGTGACCGTGGAGGAGCCAACCTATGTGCCGCTGATGGGAGAGCGGCCACTAGTACACACACAAAACAGGAGCAGCTGGAAGTCGCGGGAAGTCCACCTGCTTTTGTATGTTAACAGTACTAAGTAAGAAAAAGCAATGACACAGCAGTGTGCTTCAGTGGGTCACCTGTCCCACTCCCCTCTCTGGTGAATCCTCTTACCCCCGCACCTCTGGCCCACACTGGCTCCTCTTGTATGTATAATACATACAATGTAACTATAAACACACAGTAAGTTAAAAGAAGTCTTTAAAAAAAAATCCCAGATGGTTTTTTTTGTAGAAATTGACATGCTAGTTCTAAAATTTATATGGAAATACAAGGGAAGCGGCAACAATAACCTTGAAAAAGAACGAAGTTTTGAAGGACTTGCACTTCCTTCCTATGTGATCACGAAAAGTACAGTCCTGGTATAAAGGACAGACACACAGGCCAACAGGGTGGGTCCAGAGTCCAGGACAGTTTGGAAAACAAGTAGGTGGGCAGTTATTTGCAGAGAAGGGAGAGTGAGGAGTAACGGGTGCAGGGTTCCCCTTCTGGAGCAGTGGAAGTGGTCTGGAGTTAGTGGAGGTGGTTACAGACCTTTGAAATATATGGAAAAGCACTGAATTAAACACTCTGAGTGGGTAAGTTACGGCATGTGAATTATATAGCAATAAAACTACTCTGCAATATAAATACTTTTAAATGGCACAAAGAAGATCAGCGTGTATGTCGAAGTTAGGTGCACGAGCGCAGTGGGCTTTTCAGCTTTCAACCGACCGACTCACCCTGAATAGTATAAATAAAGCCGCCTGCAATGCCCTCCACACCTTCCAGGAGTTCCCGAGGCAGCGCGCCCTCTCCAGCCTGAAAGAAGCGAGAGTGCACAAGCTCAGTCTCATTCCTGTGAATGCATGTCCTCTAGTAAAACCAATTCAGCAAGATTCACACTGAACCTGCAGCAGGCATGTTCACCCAGCGCACGGTGCAGCAGGCGGGGCTGCAAGGGCCTGGACAGACTCTAGGCACTTTACCACGCAGGCAGCCACGGGCACACCCCCAAGTGCGGCTCACAGTCACGGAGTGTCCAACATGCGGCCACCTCAGTACAGAACCAATTTTAGTTTACATTCCAACCCCATCACTTAAAAACTGGTTTTGCTTTCGCAGAGATGGAATATTCCCAGGACCTGCACCGATTCTAGGCAGAACTGGGCAGAACTGGGCAGCCGTGCGGGGAGGTGTCTTCTGGACAGTTCGGAGGAGCCCCACTGACTACTTACGCTGCTGACGGTAGAGGATGCCGTGCCAGCAGCCAACGGCATCCCTTCTACCGCCAGGACTGAGGGTTTATTATCAGAGGCAGCCCTCTTCCTCAGAGCCAGGGCTGCAGCTCTGGGCTGGCCACTGGCTGCTCAGACTAGTTTTTTTATTATCACCACTTGCTGGCATGAGCAAGATTTCAAATGTTCCACTGTGTGCAGATGATGAAAACCTTATCTTGTGCGCGGAATTTCTTAGAATAAGTTAGTCACTTCACTTTTTATTCTTAGGCTACTAGAGAGTTTAAGCAATCTTTAGCGCTCAACCAAACATATTTACCCCCAAAACAAGTAATTTGAGTCTTTACATTTGAACCTCGTTCTTGACTTATAAATAAAGTTCTGAATTCCAGAACATTTTGGATATTTCAAGTTTCATAAACAGAAAAGGAGGCAATTATCAAAGGCACCTGCTTTGAAAATAAGAATAAACTGTAATTAAATCCTATAAAAATAATGGACATTCCACAATAAAGAACAACTTCTTAAGCATGATGTCTAGACCAGATTCGTACTGGTACATGAATCTGTGGGTCTGTCTGTTCTTGCTGGCCTGTACGCTCCACGGTGAGCTGGTATCAGGTCTGACACTCCCGGTGCCTGGCTTACAGCAGATACAAAATAAATGTCCCCTGAGTGCGTGACACTATACCACAGGGTGCTCCTTTCAAAGTCAGAAATTCATGTGGATAAAGTCAATAGCTAATGAAAACAGAATGAGCTTGAACATCTAAATGCTGAGTGCTTTCCTGATCATGAGAGCATTAAGAATGAAAGACTCGCACCACTTAGTTAAAATTCATCTCTTTAATTTGCCTATGTCCTCTCTATCATCCTGCATTTACTTTGAGAAATTTACCTGTCATGCTCTTGTGAATTTGAAGCAAGTCTGAATAAATGAAAATTATGAGAGGCAGAGCCTTCGTAGGTGAGTGATAAATCTTACTAGTACTTTGATTGTGTGTGTGTGTGTTTTTTTATTTATTTACTTATGCACACAATAACTGGGGTACAGGTCAGAGGTGTGGGAATGAGGACTCCCCAGAGACAGAGTGGGGAGCGCAGCACAGGCAGATGGATGAAATAACTGCTAAGGGAGCAGCAGAGACAGGAGGGGTCTGCTGCGCCCTGGGATGGGTCAGTCCCTGGCTGGGGATCGAACTCATGCTGCAGTAGCTGTGGCCAACCCCATAGCGATGCGCTTTAACCCGCTGCACCACCAGGGAGGCTTTACTTCTATCATATTTTAACTGACATTATCAATTAGATAGTGAATAGTCTGATTATTATTGAGCAAGTGTTCTTAAAGAACACCCTAAATTCTACTGAAAACACCATTTTTTTAAAATGAACTGATCTTGGGCCCTCCCTGGTGGCAGAGGGGTCAGTCTCAGCATTGGGAAGCTGTGCCAGCCACTGCAGCATGAGTTCGATCCCCAGGCAGGGAGTGACCACAGTGAGCAGCAGACCCCTCCTGTGTCTCCGCCGCCCCCTCAGCAGTGTATCTTGATGGATCCGCCTGTCCTGCACTCCATCCTGCACCTCTAGTCTGTGCCCCAGCTCTTGTGTGTACAATAAATAAATCTTAAGGGAAAGAAAAAGGCTGATCTGAAGGCAGTCTTAGCTGACACTGATGTTACCAGATCATATAGCAATCGAATTTTTCATTTTTACTATAATGCTTTAACATCTACCACATCTGATGGCTCTAAAACGCGAGATCCACTGCCCGCTGTTGCTATGACAGCGTAACCACCACCTTCGAAGCATCTGTTCCAAAGTGGAAGTCAGGATCTCCTCAGGTGGTCCCCGAAGTGCCCACAGTCCTCCTCCCTCCACTGAGCACCCGCTCCGGCCCGGGCCTTTGGCAGAAAGGGGCCCCTCACCGAGACGACTCTGAGGACGCCCCCGCCGTCATTCATGGTCACGCTGCGGGGGTCTCTCGATACCAGGCCCTGGCAGTCTTGGCTCTCCCACACGACTGTGCCTTCAAAGCTCTCGGGGGAAGATGAACAATGCAATCAGCTTGTTTACTGTTGTCATCAGGTTAGATTTACAGAAAGCTGCTTTCTGAGGCATATTGGCTAGATTGCTATTCCAGCTGTAAGACACCTTGCTACTATTCTGGCGAGTCCCCTTTCTAACACACATCTAAAAACACCACCTCGGCAATTTTGCAGGCTGCTCTTTGTCACTCCACACTGACCATTTCCTTATGCTACCAGAGCTGCCACAGCTATTTCTGAGTGGATGCACTGATTTACACCTTTCAAAAACTTACTTATTTTTGCATAGAAGAGCTGGGGTACAGGCGGGGTTGGGGGGGTAGGGGTATGTGAGAGGATTCCCCAGAGACAGAGTGGGGAGCAGAACAGGCAGATCCACTGACACCCCCTGCTGTGCCACGTGGCAGTGTACCACGTCGCCTCCCGTGGCGCCTAAGTGAAAAATCCTTAGAGCTTGGCACAGTCAAGGTACCGGGCACACAGGAGGAATAGGTAGCCCTTCAGGAATAGAAGAATAGCTGATTCGCGAATGGTCACTGTACTTTTTGATTTGTCTCCTAATTCTGTTGACACACAATACACTGAACCAGAGAAATGTTATGAATACTGTGCTTCGTTTCTAAAGATACTCTTGAAAGGAATGTAACTTCCTCTGTTCTCAATACTGATTTAATTCTAAGAAACTCCTCTACAATCTTTAATTCCATTAAACTATCAACTCCTATACACCAGGTGGCTTGTGAAATGAATGGGGAGAGTACTTAAAAGGATTAGAAAGGCATAGGTGATAAATAGGGCATTTGTTTAGTAGCACTGAACCTTGAATATACAATGGTTCCCTAGGGCCCCAAGTTGATTTCCGGCCCCTGGCAACATCTCAGAAACAAAAAGAAATTAATGTATTACCCGTCAGGAGTCTGTTAAAAGAATCATTGTATCCCTATATTTGCTTGCCAAGAAAAATTGTATAAATGCTCTACACTCTTAAAAATAAATTACATTCAGATATGCACTCCTAGAAGTCGTGTCTGTCTGTCACTCAGCCTCATCCTTGTCTACCCTGCACAGAATTGCAATCCCTGAAACTTGTCTCCTGCTGCGCTGGTCTGCGGCAGCAGTTTGTGAGACAGGAGGGTCTGCTGTACCCTGGGGGTCACTCCCAGGCCGGTGATGGACTCATGCTCAGGGGTGACAGTGCTAAGACTGAGCCCCGAGGCTCCTGGAATTCCGGCCTCACTAGCAGACATCTAGATGCTGGATAATATCCACTAAAATGATGAGACATTTTTAGGTAAATATTTACTTTTCTCTGATGCTTATAATGTATTCGGTCACTAGAATTACTGGGAACACAGGCTGCACGGCACTTTTCCAGTCTGGGGTATCGATAGCACCCGTTTAAGCCAATGTAGTAGGTTTTAAAAAGTCTTTCCTCATTTGTGTTTCTTGTGATTTCTAGTGATAATCTGAATGACACAGTCTCTTCCAGAGTTGGTTTTGTCATTTAGCTTCTTTGAAATTTTTCTTGCTCATCTGTGTGAGCCTTTCATCAATTATCTTAATCCGATATATATTTTCTACACTATAAATATCTCAGAATTGTTTGCTACTTACAGATTTTCTGAAATTCAAATGTCCGTTAAATTTTATCTTGTCAAACCTGAAAAGCTTTTCCCTTATGACTGTTCCTGTTAAATTTAAAGTTTAGGAAGTTAGGATCCCTCCCTCAAGGTCTGATATACGCACAGCATTCTAATGTCTTCTCGTTTCTTTAGGCTCCATTTCTGGCCTCTGATCAGTGGGGTCCTTGGCCCTGCTCAGGTCTCTGCCCCACTCACCCTCAGAAAGGCTTTGCCAGCACCCTGCTAAAGGCGGCTGTCTGTGTCACATCGCCCTGCCTGATTGGCAACACTCCCCCCCACCCCCCATCTCCCACTTACTATCTGCTGTCGCACCAACTGCCCCCAACGCAGTGCAAGCACCCTGAGAGCAGGGACTGCTTCTGTCTTACTAATCAGTACATCCTTAGCACCTCAGATGACCTGACACAGAACAGGCCCTGAAGAATTCCCACACAGTGACAGGGAACTCAAAGTTTCTGGTCTAGAGCATGAGGCAGAGGACATAATTTTAGTCTTACAGAAATAATTTCATTTCTTAAGATTAAGAGATAAAGTAATTTACCATAACATCTAGGTTAGCCAGTACTGTAAGGAAACTACAAAATTGAATTTGTCAAATTTAAGTCACTGGTTTGCAAGGGTTTGTTTTTTCTTTTAAAGCAATAAAGCTTCTCTATTCCAAAGAGATAAAAATAGTGAAAGACTTTGGATTTCGCTGGCAGTCACTTTATATCCAGCTAATACCTCTTTAATCTTCATTATTTATGAAAATCTTGCTGCAATTTGTGGAGCCCAAGGGAGCCTCAGAGCAGATCTTACATATACAAAATCTGTATCATTTCTTAAAACTTCAAACAGAAAACTACCTCAGAGGTTGTTATGAGAATTCGTGATGCTGTGCATATTTGCTCAACAAAATATAACCTGAGTACCACTAGAGGAACATAAAAGGTGAATTGCCCTCTAAAAAGTTCCATTTTCTTGTCTTTGAAACAGGTGATGACATTCATTTCTATATGTCCCTGGGGAGGAGTTTATTGATCTCAAGTGATGTCAGACCTCCATTCTGTAAAACCAACTGACCAGCCTCATCACCACTGCATGGAACATTCCATGTTTAGCGGGGACAGCTGGTCCCCGCTAGCCTTCTTAGCCTTTTGTTATTTCTGTCAAATTATCAACAATGAAAATGTATTACTTTCATACATTTTCATACTTCATGATCAGTAAAAATTTAAACCAAACATATGTACACAACTAAGAATTTGGGGATCAATCTTTTAGGTATGTGTTATTAAACTTTTGAGTGTATACTATGCATTAGTTGTCCAGTATGTAGTGAAGACTCAAAACAAAAACACCAGCTTATATGCTCAGGTACTCATAATATGCCACCACAGATTAGTAACAGTCGAAAGCCATTCTGCTTGGGGACATCAGACAATCAAATGGCTAACAGAGCCCAACTAAGTCGTAAAGAATCTTGAGTCAGAAAAAAAGGAGCATATAAAACAACACACCAAAGGCACAAACTTGACACTGTACTGCACATTCAGAAAAACAGGAAACAGGTCAGTATTGCTGAAGAACAGGATGAAGAAAGAAGTAAAAGGCAGATGGCCAGCCCACTCTGTCCTTGAATGGAGTCTATCTTCCGACCTTCATGGCAGTGGGGACCCTGGAGATGCAGGCTCGAGAATGACACACCCATGTTTGCAATTTTAGAAAGGTGAAGCCGGTAGCAGAGTTACAACCATATAGTTTGGGAGGGACCGTGTTAGCTGAGCTATGACAGAAGTCTAGGCAAAAAGGAGCAAGTAGTTATTCAATTAAAGCTGTCAGAGTAATGAAGTCACAAATGGAAAGCATTTCATCCTCGCGAATTAGAAGAATTAACATTGTTAAAGTACCTGTATTACCCAAAGCAATTTACAGATTCAATGGAATCCCTATCAAAACCCCAGTAACACTTTTCTAAAAACATAGAATCCTAAAATTTTTATGTAACTACAAATGCCCCACATAGCCAAAGCAAGCTTGAGAAAGAAAAACCAAGTGGGAGGCATCACACATCCCAACTTCAAATTATCTTAGAAAGTTGTGGCATCAAAACAGTATGATATTGGCATACGAACAAATACAAAATCAACAAAATGGAGTCCAGAGATACAGTCATATAGTCAATTAATTTACAAGGAATCAAGAACATAAAATAGATGAAGAATATAAAATGGACTGGGACAGCCACAGGCAAAATGATTTATCATTTTTATACCATACGCCAAACCAAGCCAAAATGGATTTAAAACTTGAATGCAAGACTTGAGGTCACTCAATTTCTGGAAGAAAACAGGTGGTGAAATCCCTGACAGGAAGCTGCCAGCAAAGGCAGAGGCCACAACAAGAGCAACAACAGGCATGCAGAGCTACATGAAGTCGAGAAGCTTCACACAGCAAAGGAGACCAGCAACAAGACAGAAGCCACCTACAAAATGGGAGGACCTACTTGCAAGTCGTATATCTAACCAAGGGTTAACATCTGAAATACATAAAGGACTGACAGATCGCAATTGCAAAACGACAATCTGATTAAAATAGAAGTTCTTCGCATTTTCCCAATGACATACAAGCCGCTGCAGGCACTAGAAAAGGTGTGGCCCTGTTTCCTAGTCACTGGAAAAGGCAAGTCAACACTCACTGGGATGTCTAGTAGCAAAAAGACGAACACTGGTAAGGAGGCAGGAAAAGGGCAGCCCTGGGCACTAATGGTGGGAAGGAAACTGACATAGTTACAATGGAAAAAAGTGACAGCCTCTCAAAATATGGAAAATAAAATTACCATATGATCTTGTAATTCTATTTCAGGTGTTTACATGAAGAAAATGAAAGTGCTGACTTGAAAAGAGAAATGCGCTTTCAAGCTCACTGCAGCACTGTTCACAACAGTCAGGACGTGGCATTAACCCAAGTGTCTGCTGGTGCAAATATGAATGAGGAAATGTAGTGGGCACATGTCCATGCACAGATGACTAGCCACTAGAAAGGAAGTCATGCCACTTCAGACAACACAGAGCAGCCTTGGGGCACTGCACTAAGTGGCGTGAGCCACACAGAGACAAAAGCGCATGATCTTGCTCATCGTTTGTTGTCTTTTTGATCTTAGACATCCCAGTGGGTGTGAGGAAGGGTAGGGTGAGAGAGGCAGGGTAGAGGTGAGATCAACGTGGGTAAGCGTGGTCAAAGGTACAATCTTCCAGTTACAGAAAGGAAACTGTCCTGAGTTGTGCCAGTGAAAGGCTAACATTAGAGGAAACAGCTTCTAACAGCTGGGGAGAGCTTCACATGAAGCTTGATTAGTAACATCAGAACCTTAAAAAAACACATAGAAACAAGTCACCTTCTATCAGAGAACTAGGTTGAGAGACAAACTTCGGCCATGTAGCAATGTCCAAGGAGAGAGACCATGGCTGAAAGGCCTGGAATCCCAGTCACACCCCACCCTGCTGCGACAGCTGTCCAGACACCTCTGCCCGCTGTCAGCCCACTGCTGTGCCCAAGCAGTGCTCAGGCCTAGCTTTTTCAGAGCTGCGCGGAAGCAGGGAGGCCTCCAGAGCGGGGCATGCGCTAACACCTCCCGAAACGTGAGTAGACTGACATTCCAGTATCTGCACTGACCTTTAATTTCTGAGCATTCCCACAGAGAATCCAATGACCACCAAGAGGACCTGGCGGTCAGTGTGTGGTCCGAGCACTACGCCTAGACCCTGACCATGAGCTCTGAGTTAACAACATGTCTCTCCTAGCAGCAACCACCCCATGCCCTGTGTGCCTTTCCTCTGAAACTTCAATAGCAGTAAGGTTTGCAAAGACCGAAAAAGGACTGGGCCAGAGCACTCATCCAATCCATAGAGCTCTGTGGTCACCCTGGTAAGGCCTGCAGGGGACCATTGGGTCATCACTAATGGTGGCAACTGTAGCTTCATGTGAGCTGCACCACCCACCCCACTGACCCAACAGTGCCTCACCTTGGAGCCACAAATCTAGAAAATAGGGAAACGACTGGTCACTCTCAATCATGACCATTCAACTGACACCTGGCATCTGACCCCCACAGCAAGCTCGACCTGTGGGGGTTCACCTGCCATCCACAGACCCTGTGAACCTCAGTGGATTTGGACCTGCCTGGAAAGCACAGTCATGGGCTGCGACTCTCGGCCTCGGGGCAACATGTCTCTCCCTGGGAACCACACAGAAGCTGAACCCAGCTCCACTTCCAGTTCCAGCAGGCAGGATGCCCCGCCCAATAGGGCTGGTCAGCAAGTGGACCCTGGAGGCCCCTCGCTGTGCCTCAGCACACAGTTGGGCTGTACACCACAGCCAGTTTCTCTGTCCCACTAGGGGCAGCTGCTCTACGAGGCCCCTGCCTGCATCCACACACAGCCCCACCATTGGGCACCTGCCAAGCTGTCCGCAAGTGTCCCTGAAAGCACCCAGAGTGGCCTCCTTTGAAACTCAAACACCTGGTCCATACTAGGTAGCTGGCCTGACTTTTACAAGTACGGGGCACCTTTGATGGTCCATATTTCATTGAACAAGGAACAAAGTTCAAAATGGAAATTTAAAAAGATCCATTCGCATGATGTAAACTGACAAACTGCCTTCCAGAAAGAAATTCATGACACAAAAATGTGTATTAAGTGTGAACCAACGCTTCATCCCAGAAAGAACAGTCACACATACCATAGAGGTGTAAGGATATTCACTTTAGTCTTGTTTACAACTCCTAGAAACTAGATTTCTGCCTGCGTTTTGCTTCCATTTAAAACTATTGTTTTGAGGCCCTCCCTGGTGGCATAACAGGTTAAGCGCAGCATGTGAAGCTGCCACCAGCCACTGCAGCATGAATTCGATCCCCATCCAGGGAGGGACCATAGGGTGCAGCAGATCCCTCCTGTCTCCCCGCTGTCCCCCTTAGCAGTGAGTTTCAGGAGATCCTCCTGTTCTGCTCCCCATTCTGTCTCTTGGGCAACCTCTCACTGACCCCCTCACCCCGGCATTTCTGGCCTGCACCCAAGCTCTTGTATGCATAAATAAATGAATCTTTTAAAAAAAATCTATTTTAAAATGGAAATTCATATACAGATGAAATAAAGGAGACTGCTTTTCACATTCCCAAATTAAATATATAGTTAATTACTTGAACTCAACTTCAAAATCCATAGTATATTAATAACATGCAGAATTCTGTTGTTGCATAAATGTGAACAGCAGCCCACAAAACAGTTGGTAGAAAACATTCTAGAGTAATCTATATAACCGTCTACAGTTTCCACATCTTAACTGTGAGGCTGCAGGACCAACTCTATAGCTGCTCTAAAACGACCAGGGATGGTCAGGAACTGACCTTGCTGTTGGCAGGAGGGTGAACTCCAACAAGGCCACAATGAACCGGAAGAATAATTTGCAGTGCCCCACTGTGTCGCCAGGTACGACCGCAATGTGGCTCATGCCAGGGGCCTGGCAGGTGAAGCGGTCACCCGCACCTGTCTACTTCAGGCCAGAACTGGAGGGTCCAGAGGTGACAGTGATGCTTTCTGACATCACCCACAACTTGGAGAAATTTTATTTCTCTTGGAAATGTTATGGATCTTCTGCCATATTTTCCTCCTCCCCACTACCATTCTTTCATTTCACAAACTGAGGTATCGATGCGTGTGTGTTTGGCCTCTCAAGCCACCTGCTCGTATCTTTACTCAGAACCATTGTGCCAGTCTCCATCCCACTAGATAAGCCATGGCAACATCCAAAGCTTTTCAAACAGTGTCGCCTGAAGCTCTCTGCAAGTGGTTTGTGTCAGGTGGCAATCCCATCTGCCCTCCTCGCACTACCAGGTGTGAGTGCCTGCCTCTGGAAGTATACAGGCTGGACATCGTGGGCTTCCATTGCATGCTGTACCTCTGGCAGGATGAACTGCTCCACAGGCTTGTACCACAGCTTGTTCACCTGTACACCACAACTCGGGGGGCTGAAGCGAGCAGTGAAGAGGGCCTCCTGCAGAGTGGGGTGAAGAAACAAAGGCAAGGAGAAAACACATTACATTGGACATCACACAGGCACTAAGTTTCAAACACCTTACACTTCAGTCAGCTAAAACCTCGCAGGTGCCCACCAAGAACATTGACCAACAGGGCTCTACTGTGGGGCCAGCGTCATCTGAGTCTCTGAGTGCAGTAGAGTTACTGAGTAAAGATGTTTGCTGTAACTAAAGACATGGTGGCCCTCCCTGGTGGCGCAGCGGGTTAAAGCGCAGCACTGAGAAGCTTAAGCTACTTCCGCATGAGTTCAACCCCCGCCTGCCCCGGAGGTGACCACATGGCGTGGCAGACCTCTCCTGACCTGCCCGCTGCTCCCCTCAGCAGTGTACTTCGCAGATCTGCCTGTTCTGCTCCCCACTCTGTCTCTGGTGAAGCCTCTCGCCGCCCCTGCACCTCTGGCTTGTACCCCAGTTCTGTATGAACAA